GGTCATCCCTGATCTCCCTTCCTTCCGCCGCGCCCTTAAGACTTGGTTATTCCAGCTTGCAGGACTGGCCTAGGGTAATTTTTAGAGGGGTTTTAATTATATTTTAATTGGACTATGTTTAAATATTTCTTTTTAATTAATTTTAATTTTGTAATTGTTATTTGTGTATTTTAATCGATTGTCAGCCGCCCTGAGTCCGGAAGGAGAAGGGCGGGATATAAATTGAATTTAATAATAATAATAATAATAATAATAATAATAATAATAATAATAATAATAATAATAATAATAATAATAATAATAATGATTATCAATTTTTCTGTGCAGGGAGCTTTAAACAAAGTTTTTCCCCTTAGTCTTGTTTCAGATTGCTCTAAGCTCCCCAGGGGCCCTCAACAGTAACATATATGGGAAACACAGAGATAAGATGCTTCTTTGGCTGCTGGATAGCAATGTAATTCTCAAGGCAATTTATAGTAATCATAGGAATTAGTCATGAGTTGTTTGATTACATTTCCTGACTAGTTCCTGCTGCAAATAGCAAGTACCTTCAATTTGAACAGTATAGTTAACTATATTGTAAATGTAAATTTACATGAAAATAAACATAGTTGGGTTATTTTGTAAGAAACATTGTTTTGGAAAAAATGGTAGCAGCTGTTTTCACAATAAAGCTGCCTTTACTGTATCTTGTGAACTTGGTCAGCAAGAATACATTTTCCTAATCAAATAAATAGTCAAGTAGACTACTTGTATTGGCATGAAAGGTAGAAAATAATTAACAAATAACTTATAAAATAGCTTTTATTTGGGGGCAGTGTTTGTGTGGGTTTTGTCATTGACTTGGAACATTTTAAATATAAATACATAGATTGTGCTAATCTAATTTTGATATATCATGAATTGTTGCCCCCATTTTAAAGCAGAAGCTGAGACGAAATGTGAACTTGTTGGAGAAGCTAGTTATGCAAGAGACGTTGTCATGCCTAGTAGTGAATCTTTATCCAGGAAATGAAGGCTATTCCTTGATGCTCAGAGGAAAAAATGGCTCAGGTAAAACAAGCATTGTTGACTTTTAAATCTTTCTTTGATCTAAGTAGAGTCTTTTTAAATAATATTTTGAAGTATTAGATGGAAGCCTGATTCGAAGCATACCAGAGTTTCTTTTGTTATGAGTAATAGATGCTCGCTGAGCTTTATTCTGTTTTAAATGCAGATTCAGAAACCATTCGGCTTCCTTATGAAGAGGGAGAATTACTTGAATATTTGGATGCTGAGGAGCTGCCTCCTATTTTAGTTGACCTCCTTGAAAAATCTCAGGTTTGAAAAGAATTTGCACAATTGTTTGTGGAATTGTTAATGCATTTTTGGTGGGATATAATAGCAACACTACTTATGCATGTATGATAGAGTCAGTTGGGATATACACAGATACCACTATATAGGCGATTTGTAGAATAAGAGTGATAGCTGTTAATAGAAAAAAGAGAAATATCCCTGACAAACTGTGTGTACATAAATCTATATCCTGTATGTAAGAGTATGAATGTGTGTGTACATGGATACATATAGGCACAAGTGAATGTGTTTTTCTCCAGCATGATAGATGTAGCCTCCACCAATGGGTTATCAAAGCCTTCCTGCTCAGTTTAGACTAAGACCAAACTTTAGCCACGCCTCTCCTGGGGCGGTCCCTTCCCAGTTTTGTCTTAGTCTCGGCTCAGTAGGACATAACTTAGAATAGCTCCTCAATAGATTAAATTGATTAGTCAGTTTTAGGATAGGAAAGTTTTGGATTTTTCGTTTTTTATTGTTTCATAGTATTGGCCAGGAAGGTTGAAGACAGGATTCAGTTTGTGAGCGCGTCCCTGGGGACTGCAGGGACGCAATCTCCCTAGGAGCTTCGCTGGGGAGTTCAGGCCTTAGCTCCTACTAGCTGTTGGGCGCTGCGACGGGAGTTCCCTGAGCATCTGGGATGATTTCTTCAGATCAGCTGTTTGGCGCTGCGACGGGTGTTCCCCGAGCGCTCGGGAGCGAATCGTTCAGACGCTCCTGAAGATCGGCCTGAACGGCCAGGTGTTTCCCCCTTTGCCTCGTGGCCACGAGGCTCCGGAGAAGATCGAGCCGCTGTTTGTCTACACAGCAAACCGCAAGTTTCTTTGAATTGCCTTATAAATCAAGGGGGTGTGAAGACAAGGTTGTGGGGACCCGTGGGATTCCCTGAACAACTTGTGGTGGCTCAAATTGAAAGTTTTTCTTAAGGCTTCGCCATTTAGGCGGCAAGAAGACTCGCGGCCGCCATTTTGAATAGCGCTGGGTGTGGTCGCCATCTTGGTGAGGCCTTCACACAGGCAGATATCAGGCCTTTGGATTTCTATAGCCTACTGTGTTGGGCTTTCAAGGGGGGTTTCATCTGAAGGATTTATTCTGCTCTTTTTGTAAGGACTCCCTTAAAAGGAGGGGTTTTCCCTTTCTGATCTCTATTGTATCATTCAAATCACTTTATTACTGGTTGTAATTCTAGGGAGAATTTAACAAACCTGTTCTAATTAGCTCGCGGCGCTGTGCCTGCAGGGCCTGGGCAGACAGTTTTAGGGAGCTGTCTGGCTGTTTGTCATTGTGGTTGTCTTAGGGCGTGGGAAGCTTCCCTCCCGGACAACTTGATCTGCGTGTTTACCCCCATTACAGGGCTTCTCCTATTTGGAAGGTCCAGTGCACAATGGCAGATGGTGAAACTCCTCAGACTTCGCAGGGTTCTGATGCCCCCCCCCGCACAATCCAAACGCAGATCTTTTGATATGGGCACGGGGGGAAAGAAAAAAGCCAAAACCAAGCATTTATCTAAAGAACCCTCCAAGGCTGCTGAGCGAGAGGCCTCGAGGAGACATCAGGCACTGGAGAAAGAATTCTCCAGAGCTCAAAGGCTCAGGTCCAGTGAAACTGAAGTGGTTCCCCCTGCTTCTGTGGACAGTTCACCATTTGAGCCTCCACTAGTGCCTTCTTATCAAGCCCCCAGAGCTTGGTCTCCTCAAGGGGGAACTGAACAGGTTGGTCTCCCTCCTTCCCTTCCCGGTTCTCCTTCTTTTCCTTCTGATCCTTCAGTTCCTGCTGCTTCCATCACCCCACAGGCTTCTGAGGCCTCTGCCTCTGGTGTTGCCCCTGCAGAGCAAACCTTCTGGGCACAAAAGTTCAACTCTTTCATGCAACAGGCCTTCAACCAATTTATGGCATCCTCTATGGGTCAGGGGCCTTCACAGATTCCATCCCCTCCTCCTCCACCCTTGCCAGCAGGTTGCACTGGGTACCTCCAGTCAGCTGGCTTGGGTGTTTCTGAGACTTCGTCTCAACTAGGAGAAGCCGAGTCTGTTGACTTGGAGACATCTGACTTACCTATGTCAGAGGATGAAGAGGTGGCACCAGATCCGACTCCAACATCTGGTCTTTTTGATCCTTCTCTATTTCGATCACTATTGTTAAAAGCCTGCACCACAGCCAATTTGGTCGCAGAGCAGGAACCTGAACCATCTACGTCCACTGCGCAGGAGTCAAATCCCTTGTTTGCGGTGCAGGTTGTTGAGGAGAAGCAAGTTCCTTGCCCCGCGGTTTTCCACACCACGGTGGAGAAACAGTGGGCTTCATTGTCCACTCTACCTCCACCCAGCAGCACGGAAAAGAAACTTTTTAATGTATCACCTACTTTCTCTTCCCTCCTAGAGGTACCTACGGTGGATGCCCCCTTGACCTCTTTATTCTCCACGTCCACAGTTCCTGGTGACATGGCAGAGAACCTCAAGGCGGAGGATAAAAGATTCGAGTTTTCTCTCCGCAGAGCTCATCAGGCCTCAGCCTGGGCCATCAGGGCAGCAACGTCCTCATCCTTTTTCGCGAGGACTTCCATTATGTGGCTCCGTGAGTTACAGGCCTTAATCCCTCCAGATCAGGTGTGTGCGCAACAGACTCTAGGTAAGCTAGTTGCTGCTGCGGAATATATGGCAGATGCATCCCTCCACTCGGTCAAGTATTCCGCCAGGTCTATCGCGGCCATGGTAGCATCTCGTAGATTATTGTGGCTCAAACAGTGGAGGGCAGATCTCAAATCAAGATGGCGTCTGGCCACATATACATATAGTGATACTCAATTGTTCGGGGCGGTCTTGGAACCGTACCTAGTTTAAGGGAAGGACAAACGAAAGACCTTGGCTCATCCCTCCAAAAAGGCGGATAGGAGACCTCAGCAAGAATTCCGCAGACAGTCCTTTCGTGCCAGGGGTTCCTGGGATTGGCAGCAGCCCTTTCGATCAGGGCAGTCCTGGGATTGGCCCAGAGGTTCCCGATCCTTTTCCCCCAGACAGGATCGACAACAGGACCGCCAAGAGTTCAGGAACCAGGGGACAGTTCCAGAGCAAGCGTCCCTTCAGGGGAGCTGGGGGACGCCCATACAGGAGGTCCAAGTGACGCCAATTTGGATCCTCCCATAGGAGGTCGCTTGGCTCTGTTCAGCGACGCTTGGGAGGTCACCACCAACGATACTTGGGTGAGGGAGACCATAAAATTCAGCCTAGCCCTAGAATTCAATTCCATTCCCCCAGACCGCTTCATTCAGTGTCCAGTCTCAAGACACGCAAGCAAGGCCAGGCTAGTTCCCACGGCCATTTCCCATCTGTTAGATATAAAGGCCATAGAACCGGTGCCTCTGGACCAAAGGGGAAAGGGATTTTACTCCATCCTCTTTGTGGTCCCCAAGGCCTCGGGGGGTTGGAGAGCGATCTTGGATCTGAAGGGACTAAACCACTTCATATCTTACAGGAGATTCAAGGTGCAGTCTCTCAGGTCCATTCTGGCCAGTATCAGGAAGGGAGATTATCTCTCCTCCATAGATCTGACAGAGGCTTATCTTCATGTCCCAATCCGACCCCATCACCGCAGATTCCTCCGGTTTTGCCATGCGCGCAGGCATTATCAATACAAGGCCCTACCCTTTGGCCTATCCTCGCCCCCTTGGGTTTTCACAAAGCTGCTGGCGGTATTAGCGGCTCATCTCAGGCTGATACCGGTAAGAGTACAATGCTATCTGGACGATATAATTATCCAGTCCAGTTCATTCCGTTCTGCGCAGATAGATCTGCAGACCACAATACGGACTCTTCAGAGACTCGACTTCTCCGTGAATTTCAAAGAGTCACACCACTCCGACCACTCGGATCTTACACTTAGGCGCAGTGATAGATTCAAACCTATGCAAGGTTTATCTATCCCAAGAACGCAAGGACAGCATCAAATCTCTTGTTCACAAAATTCAGAGAGGCAAGGTGGTTCCTCTGGTCCAGCTGTCTCAGCTGTTGGGAAAGATGATCTCATGTCTGGGAATAGTGCCTTGGGCAAGACTTCACACCAGGCATCTCCAGTGGTTCCTACTCCCTTTCCAGAAGAGGAACATGAGTGCCTCCATACGGAAGGTGAGAGTTCCTCATCACACACTACTGGTGGGCGTCGCCAGCTATGCACCAGGGATCACTTTTCAAGGAGCCTCACAGACTCGTCCTGACCACGGACGCCAGTTTATTCGGATGGGGCGCGCACATACAGACACACATGGCACAGGGCCAATGGTCTCAGTCCGATCTCACAATATAAATTGGTTGGAACTCAGGGCAGTACACCTGGCACTTCGCCAATTTTCCCACATAGTATCGGGAAAACATGTCCTGGTAATGACGGACAACGTCGCAGCCAAGGCTCACATCAACAGGCAAGGGGGGACCAGGTCTTGGTCCCTCATGCAGGAAGCCCTGACTCTGGGCCTGTGGGCAGAGTCCAATCTGGCATCCATTTGTGCAGAACACATATCCAGAGTGGCAAATCACCAGGCCGATTCTCTGAGCAGGGCAACGGTGGACCATTCAGAGTGGCGCTTGGACCCGGCCCTCTTCAGGGAGATAGTGGAAAGGTTCGGTCCACCTCTGGTGGACTTGTTTGTCTCACTGACAAACACCCAACTGCCCAGATACTTCACGAGGTTCCCATCACGGGGGGCGGAGGGAACAGATGCTCTCCGCAGCAACTGGCCCAAGGGGCTTCTATATACATTCCCTGCACTTCCACTGATCCCAGCTGTCATCAGAAAGCTTCTCTTGGAACAGGCGGAATTAATCTTGCTGGTCCCGCACTGGCCAAGGAGACCTTGGTTTGCCGACCTCGTGGATCTGTCGGTCTCCCCGCCATGGAAGATCCCACCGGATCTCATTTCTCTCAGTCAGGGTCAGCTCCGGCACCCGGATCCACAGTGGCTTCAATTAGCCGCTTGGCACTTGAGCGGGAGAGTTTGGCCAAACAGTCCTATTCCTCTGGAGTAATTAAGGTAATTCAGGTCTCCAGACGTCCTTCAACTAATAGGATTTATGATAACACATGGAAACATTTCTGCGCGTGGTGTACCTCTCGAAAGCTTGACCGTTGACCATCACCATCCCGATCCTCTTAGACTACCTCTTAGAGGGCCTGAACAAGGGTCTGTCTCATAACACCATTCGCAGGCAGATTGCTGCATTATCATCGGTTCTCACTTGTGAGAATCAGATGCAACTATCGCATCACCCGGCAGTTAGGGCATTCCTTAAAGGAGCTGTTTACACTGTTCCTCCTGTGGTACATAGATATCCCACGTGGGACTTGCCTAAGGTGCTGCAAGTTCTCGCGGGTTCGCCTTTTGAACCAATTAGATCTTGTTCCTTAACATTTTCTTTCCCTGAAAGTCGCCTTTTTGGTTGCCATTACATCGGCAAGGCATATCTCTGAGCTGGCCGCGCTCTCGGTCAGGAGTGATCTATGTAACTTTCTGGATGACAGGGTGGTTCTCAAGTTGGATCCTTCCTTCATTCCGAAAGTCAACACATGGTTCCATAGGTCTCAGGATCTGGTTCTCCCAGATTTTTGTCCCCGACCGTCTCATCGTCTGGAAAAGTTATGGCACACTTTAGACGTGCGTAGGGCCTTGCATCACTATGTGAAGCGAACTGAGCCTTTTCGCAGGACGGAGGCACTGTTCGTGTCTTTCCAGCCTTCTTCCAGGGGTCTGAAGGTGTCTTCTTCCACCATTGGAAGGTGGATCAGAGCGTGCATCTCTTATGCTTATAGGGCTCAAAATCTTCCGGTTCCAGCAAACATCACAGCTCATTCAACGCGCAGCGCAGCTACGTCTTCGGCCTGGTCTACCCAGGCTTCGGTTGAGGAGATTTGTAGGGCAGCCACCTGGTCTTCCCCCTCTTCATTTATAAGGCATTACAAGCTTGATCAGTTCGCTGCGGCAGACGCTTCCTTCGGCAGGAGAGTCTTGCAGCAGGTGGTTTCTACTCATGACTCATCAGCCTAGACTTCCCTCCCGACAGGGACTTGGGTGGCTTGGGTATGTCCCATTGGTGGAGGCTACATCTATCATGCTGGAGAAGGGGCGTTGTCTTACCTGAACGCCTTTTCTCAGCATGAAGATGTAGCCTCCACACCCACCCTTGATAGTTGGTCTAGGCTGCATTTTTTTCAGGAGGAGTTGTGTCAGACCATGGATGCTTCGCCTCGTCGTCCAAAACTGGGAAGGGACCGCCCCAGGAGAGGCGTGGCTAAAGTTTGGTCTTAGTCTAAACTGAGCAGGAAGGCTTTGATAACCCATTGGTGGAGGCTACATCTTCATGCTGAGAAAAGGCGTTCAGGTAAGACAACACCCTGTTTCTTTGTAAAATCAAAGCTGTAATTCACCATCTTAGGCTCCATATGGCCTTAAGGCAAAAAATGTTACTTAGATTTCTATAGTGGCTTTAGCCTTAAATATTATTTAAATTGCTGGTAATATTACTAGCAACATTACACTAATTACTTATTTTCACAGACTCATTTTAGAGTTCACATGAAAACACGGCTAAGGCAAACATAATTAACATAATGTTTAACTTGATAAGCTTATGTTTTCTGATTCAGTGAGAAAACATGATTTGAACAGTGATTTGGGTAATGCCTCAGTGAGTATGGTTATAGTTATATAAGTTCAATGGCAAGACAAAGCAAAACAAAAATAGATCAGTGTACTAAGACTTACTTCCTTATGTTCCCCCTACTTAGTTTCTTTTTCTAAGGCAGTGATGGCGAACCTTTTAGAGACTGAGTGCCCAAAAACTGGCCCTGCCCCCGCTCCACCCCCTGCTCCGCCCCACCCTGTCCCCCACCCCACCTGCCCTCAGGGCCACTCACTGCCTCCAGGGCCCACCGCAGATCGCCCAGGCAGCCCAGCAGCGCCATGGCGGCCACGCCCTCTGCCCACGCCCCGCAGCATCAACTGTGCATGATGGGGCGTGAGGGCAGAGTCTTGTCTATGCTGCCTGGCTGCCATGTCCTTGGCTGCACTGCTCCATGTGGGCCACGCTCGGGGGTGACTCTCCTCCAGGGGGGCTGCCGGTGAGGGGGTCATGGGGGGAGGCGAGGCTGGGCAACGGCACGTATGCCTACAGAGAGGGCTCCGAGTGCCGCCTCTGGCACGCATGCCATAGGTTCGTCACCACTGTTCTAAGGCATTTCCAAATTAAATATTAGAAAGAAATTTGTTTTGAACTATTATTTGTCATATTTTTACTATAACTGATCCTTAGTAAACGATTTAGAACTTTGAGATTGTCTAAAAAAACAATAAAAGCAAGTATCAGTTTTTATATCACATGGTACCATCCTTATTCTCACTGATGTATTGATAGAAGACACATTTAACAATTGATCCTAAGATGTAATGATCATTTTGGTTCTGCTTAAATATAATCAAACTTCAAAATCGCTGTATGAATGGAATGGAACGGAACGGAACGGAACAGAATAGAATAGAATAGAACTGGAAGGGACCTTGGAGGTCTTCTAGTCCAGCCCCCTGTTCAAGCAGGAGAACCTATACCATCTCAGACAACTGACTGTCTAGACTCTAGCCTTTCACACATTGCAATGAAGATATAAAAGAAGAAAAATACGTTTTGATGCCTTATGATAAAGGAAGTAGTTGTAATCAAGAATTTTCCCATTGTACTGTGATATTTGCAGTTCTGGCTAATTCTTCTTGGTCTCAGTTTTCTTAGATGTGATTAGAAAGTATGAAGTATGTCATTCATCTTAAGTGACTTTTGGTTGATGAAGAGGGTATACATCTTAGAGTTATTCATATGCAGCTAACACACATACTTCATTGTTTCATTATTTATTTATATATTATATTTATTTATTTTTAACATAATAGGCCAATACAGTGTGAAATATATCCAAATGGGAAATAATGTTACATATAAGAAGGAAAAACCTCTGTATACTGCTAGGAAGTGGCCATGAAGATACTGAAAGACATTTTGGCCTGAAATGTTGTCATGTGTCCTGATTGCAATATTTTCATGGTCAATACTGTTCAATTACTATGAGAGTAATTTCTACCTAAGCCAGGCAGAAACAAGAAACATACCTCTTCTTAAAGCTGATACAAAAGTTGATACAGCAATAAATTTAGCTGTAGGTGTCAACTGTCCAGTTGACATTTCCAGAAAAAGAAACTCCTGGGACATGATTTTACTAAGAGTATAATACTTTACTGAAAATTTACATTGGCACAGAAGAAGCAAAACCAGCTCTGGTTTTCCTGTGTGAAAGCTTACTTAATTAAACAATAGATTCCCTTGCCCCCACTCAGTGGGTGTTCACATTATCCAATAGTAATGCTTCTTCTTGTTATGGGATAAGTCCATTTCTCCATTGAGCACCTATGTTAGTGATCTTGGCATTCTTGTAGGCTCTGAAGGATGCCTCGGTTGCCTAGATTACCATCCCTCCCACCTTTGCATTCCATTCCACAATCTTTACTCTGTTTTTGTCAAGCTATGAGTGAGGGAGAAAATGTAGGTGAAAGGGCGAATCAGTCTTGACAGTAGGAAAATGTTGCTCAGATACCAAACACTACATTATACCATGAGAATAGAATAGAATAGGGTAGGATAGGATAGGATAGGATAGGATAGGATAGGATAGGATAGGATGGGTCCTTGGAGGTCTTCTAGTCCAGCCCCCTGCTCAAGCAGGAGAACCTATACCATCTCAGACAACTGACTGTCTAGCCTCTTTTTAAAAATCTCCAGTGATGGAGTGCCCACGATTTCTGGGAGCAAGCTATTCCACTGGTTAATTGTCCTCACTGTCAGGAAGTTTCTCCTTAATTCCAAGTTGCTTCTCTCTTTGATCAGTTTCCAACCATTGTTTCTTGTCCTGCCCTCTGGTGCTTTGGAGAATAATGTGACCCCCCTCTTCTTTGTGGCAGCCCCTCAAATATTGGAATACTGCTATCATGTCTCCCCTATTTCTTCTTTTCTTTAGACTAGCCAAACCCAAGTATATAGAAAAAAACATAATTGTGTAATTTTATTTATGTTTATTTTTAAACAGATTAATATTTTCCATTGTGGGTGTGTCATAACAGAAATACGTGACTATAGACAGTCTGGCAATCTGAAAACTCCAACATATCAAAGCAAACACATTCTTTTGCGCCCAACAATGCAGGTAAACTCTTCATGCTTTCAAGAATTGCCATTGCTACAGCTTCAATTAATTTTTATTTATATCGTCAGTATTTCATAATAAATGGTTACCCTCCTTTTTTCTAGACCTTGATTTGTGATGTGCATTCCATTACAAGTGACAACCACAAGTGGACACAGGTACAAAGTTATATAAGCCTTGTGATATTATAGGTTGGTAATCCAGAAATTTCTGATCTAAGATTCATTTTTGGTGTAAGCTGTATTTCTGGTGTAAGATCGGTATTAGCTTATCCAATAAATCACTGAACAAATTCTGTTCAAATAGAAAGCTTTTCGACTATGATGGAATGTTCTTCCATAATGAAAACTAGCATGTTAGAAAAAAGAACCAATTTTCCAAATATCTACAGTGAAGGAAAAAATTATTTGATCCCTTGTATCATGGTTCCAATAGATGAAACCATTTGAAAGAACTTCAAGGCAAGAATTTCTTCCTTAAAGAACATTTTTATTTGGCTACAACATAATGGCACATACAAAGGTGAACCCAAGACTAAATTCCCCTCCCCTAGGTTACAAAGTTGCAACCTACATTTCCCACCCCAAATTGCTGTCATAAATCACATTCACCAATTCCTCCCAACTGCTCCAGCCCACCAAAATGTTATCAGCAATGACCTTGGTTCCCTTACATGTGAATTGTTTTGGCTAACTGAGAACTACCCCCTTCCTCCTTTTTCTAACTAATTAAGTGGCAAGACAAAGTGAAAAATGGCTTCAATTTGGATTGTCACACGTTGACATCCTGCTGATTTGGTACGTTTGCCCACTGACAAAGAAATGATCAGTCTATAATTTTAATGGTAGGTTTATTTTAACAGTGAGAGACTTGTTGTCTTGGCCGTGTGTTTTGGGTCATTGCCATGCTATTGATGGTACATAGCCCCATCCATCGTCCCTTTGATGCGGTGAAATTGTCCTGTCCCCTTAGCAGAAAAACAGCTCCAAAGCATAATGTTTCCACCTCCATGTTTGATGGTGGGGATGGTGTTCTTGGAGTCATAGGCAGCATTCATCCTCCTCCAAATACGACAAGTTGAGTTGATGCCAAAGAGCTCGGTTTTGGTCTCACCTGACCACAGCATTTTCACCCAGTTCTCCTGTGAATCATTCAGATGTTTATTAACAAACTTTAGACGGGCCTGTACATGTGCTTTCTTGAGCAGCAGGTGCTGCAGGATTTCAGTCCTTTATGGCGTAGTGTGTTGCCAATTGTTTTCTTGGTGACTATTGTCCCAGCTGCCTTGAGATCATTGACAAGATCCTCCCGTGTAGTTCTGGGCTGATTCCTCAACATTCTCATGATCATTGAAACTCCACGACGTGAGACCTTGCATGGAGCCCCAGACTGAGGGAGATTGACAGTTATTTTGTGTTCCTTTCATTTGCGAATAATTGCACCAACTGTTGTCATCTTCTCACCAAGCTGCTTGGCGATAGTCTTGCAGCCCATTCCAGTCTTGTGTAGGTCTACAATCTTGTCCCTGACATCCTTGGACAGCTCTTTGGTCTTGCCCATGGTGGAGAGTTTGGAATCTGATTGATTGATTACTTCTGTGGACAGGTGTCTTTTATACAGGTAACAAGCTGAGATTAGGAGCACTCCCTTTAAGAGAGTGCTCCTAATCTCAGCTCATTACCTGTATAAAGAACACCTGGGAGCAAGAAATCTTGCTGATTCATAGGGGATCAAATACTTATTTCCCTCATTAAAATGCAAATCTATAACTTTTTTGAAATGCGTTTTTCTGGATTTTTTTGTTATTCTGTCTCTCACTGTTAAACCTACCATTAAAATTATAGACTGATCACTTTTTTGTCAGTGGGCAAAGGTACAAAATCAGCAGGGGATCAAATAATTTTTTCCCTCACTGTATGTTGAAAAAATACTTTATTCAAAGGAAATTCATTTATGTAAAGAATACAGGTAGTCCTTAACTTACAACTGATCATTTTACGACTCTTCAGAGTTAACGACAGACTTGAAAAGGGTGCTTTATGGCCCATAAAGCACTTTCGGTTGCACACACAGCTGTAGCATCCCATGGGCATATGACTATGATTTGAATGGTTTTGCCAGTTTCTGGTGTTATTTGTCAGTTTCCAATGGGTTGGAAACTTAATGGGTTGTTGCTTAATGGCTGTTGTAAAAATGATCATAAAATCGGGTTGGGTCATGTGGATGCCTGACTTATGACCACAGCTTACCATCCAAATTACAGTCTCAATTGTGGTCATAAGTTGTCGACTACCTGTACAACCTAGGTGCAAGTTTAGCATCTTATTCAGAAACCAAGAATAAAAAAGTATGGATTTGGTTCCTAGTTGCAATTGTTTCTTATGGCAGAACATTTGAGTTATAGAATCAGAAGTTGTGGGTGCTTCAACACTGGAAGTTTTTAAGAAGAGACTGGACAGCCAATTGTCTGAAATTGCATAGGGTTTCCTGCTTGAGCAGGGGATTGGACTAAATGACCTCCAAGGTCCCTTCCAGCTCTATTCTGATTGATTGAAGGATTGGAAGAGATCTTAGAAGTCATCTAGTTCATCCCCCTGCCCAGGGCAGAAATTTTTGTACCATTCTAAATATGGTTGTCCAATGTTTGCTGGCAAACCTCCAGAGATGAAGCATTCACAGTTTCAGAAGAAAGGCTGTCTACCACTAAATTCCTTCTTATTTTGAGTTTGGACTTCCTCCTCTAAAGTTTCATCCTTGTTAGTTCTTGTCCTTTTCTTGAAAACTGTTAAATAATGTGAAACAAAATCTCCCAAACTCAGAAAACTTATAGCAGCCTATATACCGTAACTCTATAGCAAACCTGTTTTGATTATTTTAAATAGACAGACAATTGATTAGTCTTACAACCATAAAAAAGGACAAAATCTAATTCCAGGATAAAAGAAAAGAAAATACAGCAATAAAATACATGTGTGTATACATTATATTATATTATATTATATTATATTATATTATATTATATTATATTATATTATAATATTATATTATATTATATTATATTATATTATATTATATTATATTATATTATATTATATTATATTATATTATATTATTATATTTATTATATTATATTACATTACATTACATTACATTATATTAGACGAGCACTACTAGATGTGTGGATTAAAATTAAAAAATCTAATTACATGAAAATACCCAATTGGATTTCAACACTGGAGATTTTTTTGCACCCAAAATTTATGAACCTGGGAAAGGTAATTACATATAAAAACATTCTAGATGAGACCGGAGAATTGAAAACAAGAGGGGAACTATTAGAAGATGGCATAGAGTTGGAATGGTGGGCATACTTGCAAATACAAGCATGATATAGAAAAGATAAAAAAGAACCTGGGATTAAACTAGAATATACAGAACTAGACAAAATTCTGCTAGGAACTGAAGACAAAATGATAAAAAAGATTTACCAATATTTATTAGAACAAAGTATTCCAGCAGAACTGGTAAAAGATACAATGTTAATTTGGAATAAAAACTTTGGCTATAATATCGAGTTAGATTATTGGCAACTACTGTGGGACAGGAATAGGAGATTAACATTAGCTACTACTTACAAAGAAAACTTATACAAGATGTTTTATAGGTGGCACCTCCCCCCTATAAGGCTAGCAAAAATAGACAAAAAAATCTTTACCATTATGTTGGAAATGTAGGAAAATAACAGGGATTTACTATCAAATGTGGTGGGAATGCTCAGAAGCTCGAAAATTTTGGCACTTGATAAAGAATTGGTTAGAAGAGATACTATCATTAAAAATTGAAGCAAAACCAGAACTCTTTTTATTAGGGATCACTATGGATAAATTCAGCAAAGGAGCTTTATATTTAATTCTGCACATTTTAACTGCAGCAAGATTAACATATGCTCAAAATTGTAAAAGAAAAGAACCCCACCCCCCCCGAAGAAGAAATACTAAACAAAATTCTATCCTGTGCGGAAATGGACAGACTGATATTAGAGCTCAAAAATAAAACAGAAACAGAGTACTTTGAAATTTGGAATAAAGTGTATAATTGGTTGGATTTAAAGAGGTACGCTGGGACAAAGGCTGATGATTAAGTAGATAACCTAGAAATTCTTATTTTAATATTTGTTATATCAGATAGAACCAAAAGTTATTTAACTACTAGGATATACTTTATTGAAAGAATGTGCACTGTGTAACAATATAATAACTTTAAAGTAATATTAATAGTATCATTTAAAGAGGGAAGTTGTATCATGAAAAAAAAAATACATGTGTGGTAAACACAAAGAATCAACATTCAGATAAGTGCATCACCTTTACAGCATGCCCCAATCTGTTCAATATAACAGGTTCTTAACTGTCTTAACTATAAACTTAGCAGTTCTGCTCCCAATGCATAGATTAGAATCCAGGAGGAAATGTAGGATAATCTGATTCAAATCACAGGGGGCTGTTCCTTCAAGTAAGGATATTAAGTGTCTAGGCCTAAGAGAGCACATGGTTAACAGTCAAACAAAATATGAGCAATATCCTTGATGGCTGGGGCACCACACATCTCTCATGATATGGCATGTTGTAGAAATACCCATATTTGACCTTGTTTTTATTTGCCCAGTATAACATTGGGCAAAATTGAGACAGTTTCTCATATGAATTGAAAATATACCTATTTCCCTCTCCTTCTAGTTGCATCTTTTCCATGCTATATTTTATTCTATTCTGGGAGACTTTTTGATCTTCCAGGATAACATTTGGGGAGACAACAACAAAAGAGGCTGCAAAGAGAAAGAAGTAGGAAAACCATGATCAATAAGTACATTCCCATAGAGCCCCATTTGTTATCTGAACTGATATGATGGATGGCAAACAGTGGTTGTACATGTGCTGCAATTCTTCTGTGTGACCTATATATCTTCATGCACACATTGCGTTAAGCAATATTTTATTTAACAATTCTAAGTTGAACAACTCATCAATAAATTAGTTTTAAATGAATTAATAATCATACTTATATGACCAATTTCTAGTTTGTTTTCCTTCCCTTTTCTCTGGTTAAGACATACTAATAAATTTGTTAATATTTGACAGTAACTATAGCTCTTAAATTCTAGAAATTGAGCAATTTCTGATTTGCTGTACTTTTTTATTTTGTGTAACTAGAATAAAGATATTAAATATGTTACTAAAAGATAATATTAAATAAAATTTATCTACTTCAAAAATGGCAGTACTTACAGACTTGAAGATTATTGGAACTAAAAAGTCAAACTCAATAGGTTCAAAAGGAAAAGTTGTCTATTAATATTCACACATACAGTATGTTTAAGAATCAAGTCACTCTAGTATATTGAAAAGAATGAAACTAATTGTTGTCTACATAAATATTGAAAATGAAATATATTGACCTCAGTGGACTTACTTGTAAAAATGTAGCATTAATGAATTATTGCCCTTTTAGAATCTTCTGAATTTGTGTTTTAGGAAGACAAACTTCTATTAGAAAGTCAACTTATACTGGCAACAGCAGAACCTCTGTGTCTGGATCCATCAGTTGCTGTTACATGCACAGCAAACCGGCTTTTGTATAATAAGCAGAAAATGAACACTCAGCCAATGAAACGGTACTGGAAAATATTCATCTTTAGAGGATCTTTGCAAAAAATCTGCTTTATTTTATACTAGGAAAAAAAGTGGATTACATTCAAATTAGATAACTTTTAAAGCCAATAACCTAGAACAGTGAATGCAAATATATTTCAGGAAAAAAATGGATGAAATCCAATACAATTGTAAACTTATATTAGTTAATAAAAGTTTTTTTTCTTCTGTTCAGTCGTATCCAATTCTTGGAGATTGCCTGGACTAGTCCCTGAAGTTTTCTTGACAAGGTTTTTCAGTAGTCACTTGCCATTGCCTCCTTTCTAGGACTGAGAGAAAGTGACTGATCAAAAGTCATCCAGCTACCTTTGTGTCTAAGGCAGGACTAGAACTCACGGTCACCTGGTTTCTAGCCTGATATCTCAACCACTACACAAAAGGAGTTGTAAATAGAATATAGGTACAAATTCAATAGATATTTATAAAATTAAATACAAATATGTTTTATACATTGAAGATATAAGCTTGCAATTGACTTACTTTTCTTGACTTAAAAGGAATTGCACAGCAGCTTTACAACTACATTATTAAATCATGATTATAAATGCTTGTATAAATATGTTCCAGAATATTAGTTTTCTTTATATTAATCTTGCAATATCTTATAGATGTTTCAAGAGATATTCCAGGCCATCTCTGAATCACCAGCAGGAGGTGTCTCAAAGTACCGTTCCACCACAGTTCAAGCTGTTTGATTATTTACAAAAAAGAAAGGAAAGGAGAGGAAACCAACAGTATGATCTCAAAATTTCCAAAGCTGGAAATGTATGCTTATTTTAAGAAGCTTTAAAGTAATACATTTGTGAAATGTTTTTATCCTGATGGCTGTTTGTATATTTTTGTCCCCTTAGTGTGTTGATATGTGGAAACAGAACCCCTGCTATTTGACTGCACCATCTGAAGTAGATGTAAGTTTACAGATTTAGCAAGCTTTCCTTCTATCATCCAAGTTGGTGGAGGAGTTTGAGTGAAATCCTAAACCTGCTTGCTATTTTGTGACACTTTAATTTATTCTAATAAAAACTTCCTAATTATGTCGTTATTTAAAATAGTGAATATTTTTAATATTTATTAATGAAGGATTCTTTTGATGATGTTAGTAAATTTGTTGTGACAGTTTTTCTGGGAATGTTTTATCGTCCCTAATTCTAAAGATCTATGTAATTACAAGTAACTTTAAAAAAATCCTCATTAGAGTTATACGTAATCAACTGGTTAATCCAGGGTAGATAGTCTTTTGGGTTGAAAGGCCCAGATAGAACAGGGCTACATGTCTGTCAGGCTCCAAAGGAGATTGAACTATGTTGATTAGATGTCTTTAAATAACCAGTATGATACTATTTTTTTAAAAAAAAAAAACCTAGGCATAATGTATTAACTTTATACTTTATTCAAGTGTTGCTTTTATTCATTTGCACTTTAATTTGGTTTTTTTATTTCTCAAGGTGGAAAAATATGCTAAAGTGGAAAAATCTATCAAAGCTGATGACTCACAACCAAGTGTCTGGCCGATTCATGTGAGTAGTAGTAGATTTTTAGTTAATTTCCAAGAACTATTTCTTTAGAAAAAATGGAAATGCAGTATAATGAATAATTTGTTCATAATTATATTTAGGTGATTAAAGAAAAATTCTAAAGATCATTTTCAGTTATTCATTAAAATGGAAAACTGATCTTGTGAATTCTTCAAGTATCCAACTTCCTAGCAATAGAATGTAATTTTTTAGGAGCTGCTGTTGAGTGTGTGAATAAACCAGTTTATTGTGTTCAGAATTCTATTGCCTCTGAACTATAAATACTGTACAGTCAAAGAATAAAGAGTCAGTTATCCAACAATGATAATTCCTATCTTTTGTAATTAACAGCTTTATGTTTGAATAAAAATAAATAAAAAGTACTTGTAACATAGATGATTGTGCGGGTAAGAATATCAATCTTGCTGTCAAGGAAAATCAAGCTTTTGATAGAGTGTGCCAAACCATGTGCACTAATCAAACAGGTGGTAAGGAAGTAGGGGAACTCAAAACACAAAACAGAAAGTAAACACAGGGTCAGTCAAAAAGGACTCAAATGTCTATACACCAATGCACAGAGTATGAGGTATAAACGGGGTGAATTAAAAATTTAATTACATGAGGACAGATATGATATTGTTGCCATTACAAAAACTTGATAGGTTGAAACCCACAAATGGAATATAAACTAAAGGTATTTAAATTATTTAAAAGAAACAGACCAAATAAAAGAGGAGATAGAGTTGCACTTTATATAAGAAATAACTACCATGTTTCCCCGGAAGTAAGGCCTACCCTGAAAATAAGCCCTAGCTTGATTTTGGGGGGTGGGTCTAATATAAGCCCTACCCCAATAATAAGCCCTAGTTTTGGGGTGAGGCACACACCTAAAGATCAAGCTAGGGTGGGGATATGGGTCTGGAGCTGCCCCACATGCTCTATACCCACTTACCTTGCAGCCAGGTATCCTCGCCGGCCCACTTCTTCTGCAGCCAGGCCTGCATTTCTCAATCACAGGCCTTTCTGCAGCCGAGAACCCAGCTATGGATTCAACCCATAGCTCGGTTCTGTAAGAGACCTTTGCAGGTGAGAACCGAGCTATGAATTGAATCCATAGCTTGGTACTTGTCTGCAGAGGCCTTCTGGAAAGGCCTGACTGCCTTTAAGAATGAAGCTGCTCCTTCGGTCGCAGAAGAAGTGGACTGGCTAGGCGGTGCTGTCGGTGCTGGAGGTGAGTATAAAAGAACACACACACACACACCCGGAAAATAAGACCTGGTGCCTCTTTTGGAGGCAAAAAAATAAATAAGACCCAGTCTTATTTTCGGGAAAGCACAGGTATATCTATACAGAAATAGAGTACAATGATGAAAACTGTCTTGAATGCATTTGGGTCAGTATAAAAGGAGGGGGGGATGACATTGCCATAGGTGTATATCCAATCAAACAGGAAATAGATGAACTTTTTGCTAGCCAGTTAACTAAGGTATGTAGGAAGCACTTCACAATAATAATGGGGGACATTACCCTGACATCAACTGGGAGAGACAAACTCTGCACCAAGTGGAAGATCAAACAGGTTCCTGACAAACCTAGCAGACAACTTTGTTTCCCAAAATATAGAGAAGGGATTTCCTGCCTGAGCAGGGGGTTGGACTAGAAGACCTCCAAGGACCCTTCCAACTCTGCTATTCTGTTAAAAAGGAATAAGCTGACACCTTAGTATTTTGAAATATTTGGCTGTGACCAACTGTCAATTTGAATATTGGTGTTCTTGGCTAGTTGTTTGCTGATAATTCTGTGTTGGCTAGAGCTATGAAGGGTAGTGGAAGGCTCTTATTTTAAAAACTATATTTATGGACAAATCAAAGATACAACCTTTTGATTTTAGTCATTAATATTAGTACAGAAACACTTATAAATATAAAAAGAATTAGTGTGTTGAAATTATTAACTTACCTTATATATAAGATGAAACCCCATTCAAGTAATCACTTCTTACAACTATTCAACTTGAAAATCCAGCAGCATAGCGAGGATGCGTATGTTGAACAAGATACTGGTAGAATTAGAATTAGAACCATCTAGATTAAAATTTAACATTTGAACTTCAGCAGAAGAAACAACTGCCTTCTCTGTTGGATTGCACTATGCCAAATAGACCCCATGTATAATCTGGGGGTCCTCCAGGACTCATGGCTCTTGTTCAAAGAGCAGGTGGCAACTGTGACTAGGAGACCCTTTGCTCAACTTTGTTTTGTGACCAGTTATGCTCTTTCCTGGATAGGGAGATTCTCTGTTTGGATGACTATAATGTGCTTTACCTGGGGCTACCCTTAAAAAGTATCTGGAAGGTTCAATTGGTTTAAAATATGGTGGCCCTCATGGGTTTGTGCAGGTCTAGGTTTGAACATGTGCCATCTCTCTTGAGGGAACTACAATCATTGTTTATTTGCTTCCAAGTTCAATTCAAGGTCCTGCTGTTATCTTTAAAGCCCTACATGGTGTGGGATGAGGTTATCTTGGAGGGGGACATAAGAGGATACATACATAATAGGATGTTGGATTTAGTTTTTTACATAACACAGTAATCCTATCCATTACCAAATTAAACATGTCCAAGCAGAGTTTATGAAGACTCTTGTATTCTCAAGAGTCCCAAGTTTGTTGTTCTCTGTACAACTGTATAACAGACTAAGCATGTCATAAATATGTTGTTTAATAGCTTTTATAAATGTTCTTTTTCTATTTGATAGGAAATGAAAGATGATTATGTCTTTGAATGTGAAAGTGGCAATCATTTTCAGAAAACAAAATTGACAATTTTTCAGTCACTTGGAAATCCATTGTACTATGGTAAAATACAAACTCTTAAGAATGATGAGGATAATGAAAGTCCATCACAGTAAGTGGCAATGTAAACATTGACAATGTTGGACATAATAATATATTATAGTTTGTGTATGAATACCAATAAAGTATATGATTAGTTGAATGAGCTTAGGTGACCTTGATCTCACATATTGCCTTCCAGAATAAAGATTGCTTCCATTTCATTCCATGTATTTTACTGTAGGAGTGGATGTCTTTTTCACCTTGTGGATCACAACAGATGAGATGTTGTGTGCATGCATATCTATATACTTGCTAGTATTTGCATTTATATAGTATCACAGAATAGTGGAATTATAGTTGGAAGGAACCATTTAAGTCACCAAGCTCAACACCATATCAGTACTGAAATCCAATTTAAAACAGCACAAACTGATGTCTGCCTTGAACATATGCATAGATTTGGAATCTACCATCTTCCCGATTAATTCATTCCATGATTGGACAGCATTTACTATTATGACCCCCTTCCTAGCATTGAATTGGAATCTGCTTTATAATAACTAAAATCCATTATTCCTTGTGTAAGGACCTGCCTCAATTAAACCTCCCAAGAAAGCAGAACTCTTGAAACGAAAATCATTCCAAAAGAAACTTTTATTGGAAGGTGTTAACAGCGGTAGTAGAAGGCAGGATCTGAGAATTTCTTGCACGAATCAATAGTTTAAAAGAGACAATGAAAACCCCACACCAACTGTCCCTCCAGACATTCAAACAGGCCACTCCACAGGTGTGAAAATGTTGTGGAAATGGAAGATAAGTCTCCGAACTTTTTCTCCTCCAGAGATAAGGCAGATGGCCAGAGGCACATTCCATTCTCACCCCTCACGAAAAAAACATCAAAGAGGATAGAGCAAGGAACAAAGCAAAGGAAATACACTGTAGCAGCCCTGAGCTCCCCTTCCCTCTCCCAGAAGATTGGCAGAACCCGAAAAGAAACAGAAACCCCAATGCATATAAAGTGACAGGTTCTGACATGCTGCCCCCAACCCAACTGCTTGAAGTTGGGTTTCCGTGTTAAGCAAACATCATGTACGTTCAGCTTAATTGATGTGGCATATATAATCTATATTGTACATTTACTTAACTTTAATTAGTGTATTATATTGTTTACAGTTTTCTTATTGGCTCAAAGTCAGAAGCAGAAAGGTAAGCACCTGATTACTATTTGCATGATTCTACAGGTAGCTAGGTTTTGCTCTTGCAAAAATTCCCCAGATTGTCCTTATGTTTTATTTGTTCTTTTCCTTGGAAATGAAGTTTATCTTAAAACCCGTGATCTTTGTGTAGTAGGAATATACCTTTCTCACCTATCAAATGCATACATCCTCAGAATAGGATAGTGTGTCTCTTATTCTGTGTTTTGCTCGGGAGTTAACTTCCAATGTTTGGGTGAAATGTTAGGATGTTGTCCACTAGTGCGGTATGGAATGTTTTGCAGAAAATTTAGCAAAAGAACTGGAGTGTAGTTCTAAAAGATAGGTATAATCTTTTTATTGATTAAATTGCACATTTTGTATTTCAAACTGCCTATTTCTTTCTTAATTACTTTCATTTGTTATTCATGCTTTTCTTGCCATTATATAATAACAACAGAAACTTAGGAACTATTCTTGGAATCCACTCAAACACTGAACTCAGAATAAAGAAAAGTGATGAATTAGAATTTGTTTCTAAAATATGATTGTGTAGAAAAGTAGAATATATTTCACAGGTAATACTTTTAGTAAGCATTTTATGTTAAATACACTGTTTTCATTCAGTTCCTTAATTTATGAATATATAAAAATTAAGTCAGCAGAAATATAAAAATAAGCAGATCTCTGCTATTGTTCATTATCTAGATAGAATTTCTGCAATTTCATGAAATACGTATTAATCTCATGTTATAGAGTAGTGAACCAATACCAGGAGCTGGTTCAAAATGAAGCTAAATGTCCTGTGAAGATTTTTCATAACTCAAGTGGATCAATCCATGTCAGTCAACTTTCTCCTGGGAAGGAACTAGAAGTAAGTTATTTTTAGGATTAGAGGATAACTTTGTACTCTTAAAAATATCACAGTTTCATTTAAGCCCTGCCTAAAAAAACATGCAAATTCACTTTTTATTAGTGACTTAATTACTTGACTTTTGCCTATTTATTTTTTATAGATGAATTATTATAATCTGGTGCTAGAATGTAACAAATTAAGTACTCTATGTTATCAAGTAAATCATAATAGCAATAAGACTTATATAAGGCTCCATAGGGCTTTACAGCATCCTCTGAGCAGTTTACAGTCAGTATATTGTCACCAAAAGTCTGGGTCCTCATTTTACTGACCTTGGAAGGACTGAGCTGTGGGCAAGCCATTACGATTTTTGGTTATTGAGGTGAGGGTTAGGGTTAGGGCTTGAGGAGAAACATATGCAAAGTTAAGGAGGTTGTTGTTCATTTTTCCTTTCAGAAATTAATCTTCTTTCCTAATCTTTTATGCTGTATGTATCTTAACAAATAAAGAAAGCATTTGCAAATATGAACATCATCTTCCTTAATAGAAAACAATCTTAAAAATGTTCATCTAGAAGAGAAAATTAATATGTGATGAGAAAATAATGAAGATATCCCAGAATTCCCAAGCAGCAACACTGGCTGGGGAATTCTGTGAGTTGAAATCCAGGGGTTAATTGATTAAAACAATTGGGATAGTTTTAAAGATGAAAAGATGAGCTGGGAGGATTCTGTTTATATTTTCTTTTAGCAACTTGGAAAACAAGTTCATATTCAATTTTTGATAAAAAATAATATGACAACCTGTAAACTTATTTAATATCATTAGATAAATTGTTAAATGCTTCAGAATTGAATTAATTATGTAAAATTAAATTTTTAAAAATATTCTAGGTGATCATTCTATGGATCTGAACTAAATTCTAGGCTCAGGCTCAACGTTTAAATGATGTTAAAATGTGAGATGAAAGTGTTTTGCAGTATAGAGACATGTTTCTTGGCTTGACTGGTTTGATTAAAAATAACTTGTTCTGAAAAAGTGAGCTCTTTTTAGGAATACAATAAACAACTCTTTCTACTAATAGTGTTTATTCCCATTCCTGAAAAAATGCAAATATGCTGATTTTGACTGGCATATCAGTTTCCATATTTATTTGTTAGTATTACCTCTGTAGATTTCTTCTGATTCCAAGGGTGTATGCTTGCTTTTAGCAGACTGAGGGTGTGGCAGGTTATATTCAGTCTTCAGTGTTGGGAAAAGGTGTGAAACACAGACCACCTCCCATCAAGCTACCTTCAAGTTCAGCAAGCAGTTCTTCAGGTAAATACTGTTTCAAAGCACTTTCCTTTATATTGAGAAGATATTTGTGGAATAAGTTGTGCTTTGCTTGTTTAGAATTTGTTAGTGAATCTTTCAGGGAATGTGAACGTACATTTATAATCTTATTGATAGGAAAAGTTGCAAGCAAGTTACTCAGAGCACATTCCCCTAGCACAGACATGTCAAACTCGCGATGTTACATGATGTCGCGCGACATATCGGAACTTTTTCCCCATTGCCAGCAATGGGGTGGGTGTGGTTTCCTCGTGATGTGTGCCCCTGCCGGCAGTTTGACACCCCTGCCCTAACATAATAAATTATATGCCTTCTCCAATGTCCTGTCACTCACTTGATAAGATAAACAGACTGGAAGCTAGGAAAACAGGACTCCATAACAGCTTTCTAGAAAGCTGTGGCAGATAATTTCTCACAGTAGTAACATTGCTTGGAAGGAAGAGAAAAAGACATATTCAGCTTCCTTCCAGTAGGAATAGTGAAACTGCAGTCTAAAGAAGTTACTTACATTCCAAACAATTGCAAAAAAAGTGAGGTGGTCTGCATCATTTTTTATAAGCAAGTATTGGATTGCATAACTAATATGTACTGTAGCAAAACTGGGGAAACAACTTTAGAAAATGAAATAATCTTTCTGATGTTGGTTCACAGAACAAATCCATCTATTAATTATGCTTTTCAGGTAATATTTTTAGTCCACAGCAGTCAAGCAGTCATCTCAAATCCCCAACTCCTCCTCCTCCTCCTCCTCCTTCTGCTCTTCCTCCTCCTAAGCCTCCCTGTGTATCTCGGAAGCAATCTCTGGATCTGAACCAATTGAGCCTGCTTTCTTCGGCTTCTGGGTCTCCTGCAAGTGCTTCACAAAGTGAGTCTCGCCCTAAATTCTCCATTAAATCTTCATAGGCTTCTCATGGTAAACTTCCTAATCGGCTGATCTGGAGAAACTAAATAGCACATGTCCTAAATTGTGTATTAATTGTGCAGCACAAAGCAGGCCTCTTGTTCACTGTATGTACTTTGTTTGCTGTAATTGTATTTGGTTCTTCTGTATAATTATATATGTATGCACCCTCTGTGTATACGTTTTGACTCATTTTATGCAACCAACCGAGGTCTGTCTTTCATATAGCCTGATGATTAATGTAATCATAGAAGTTTCCAAAATACATATCTTCACTAACATGTCAATAATAGCTCATTAAGAACAATTTTAATTTGCATATTTTAAGAAAGTAAAATTATTTGAATGTCGTCAATTATGGTGCAGTTGTATCTCTATATGTGTATATAATATGATCAAGTCCCAATATGGTAATAAAATAAAGTTTATAAATTGATTTTTTAAAACACTCCTATACTGTTTTACAAATCATTGCTGATGACAAAAATATAAGAATAATTTCCGGATATTAGTGCAATTTCTTAGATGTCTTCTGAGCTGTTAGAAAGCTGGTTTGGATTTTTCAGCAGCATCAGTTTGATAAATCTCACAATAAAAATAACGGCTGTGGGTTTTTAACCACCCTTTGAAATATATGGGAGGTGGGGAAGAATCCCTTAGAGCAGGGGTCTTCAAACTTGGCCCTTTTATGATTTTGTGGACTTCAACTCCCAGAATTTCTCAGCCAGCCAGTGATGGATAATTTGTCTATTCAGTTCTTTGTTTGCTGCATAATGTAGTCCTGTGATTTGCGTGTTGCATAATCTAAAATTGTAAGAAAGGGACTTAACAGATGTCATTTTTATGCCTTCCTGTTTTGCACAAAGAAACTTAAAAGGAGCTTTGGTAATTTTTTCCCAAGTATCTGATTAACTTAATTCTCATTCCACTCCTTATATGTAGCTGGGAAATCCCAGGGACTAGATTGGAAGTCAAAAAGTTTTCTGGAAGAAGGCAATGTCAAGAAAATGTCATGGGCATATCCACGTATTCATCAGGAACCAAACTCAACTTGTGGGAGTGTTTTTTTCTAGATATATAAGTGTTGTTGTATACCCCGGCTTTTAAACATTCACATTTCTTTCCTTTGTTTCTGCAAGACATGAATGCTTAAAAAAAACAACAAAATTAAAGTAGCTTTAGAACTTTTATTGTCTTAATTTCATTGATATTATTGCTTCATGCCAACTTTACATTTTAAATGCAATCATTGATTGTTGCTTTCTTTCTGTCTGCAAGTTAAGCAAACCAGTGATGGATAATAATTTGTATTTTCTTTTTCACTGTCCAGATTTTTATTCAAGCTGCTTTTCTAATGTTACATTATTGTGCAGATGTTAAAAGATGTACATGTTACAATGTTAGATTGTTTATTGTTTATAGCATTTTAATGCTTTATTAAAAAAAAATACTGAAATTGACATGAGATAGTTAATAGCAGAGGAGTGATGTAAATGTGTCAACAATGTTAGAATGATTTAATGGAATAAATAGAACTCGAGTTGCAGATTAAGCATAGTGATATTTTTGTGCCATATGCTTCATTCATCAGAAACAGCAATTATTAACCAAGTTGGCTGGGCTGTTGGTGGTGTTTTTTAAGTGGAGTAAAATATCAAGCTAAGCAAGAGTCCACTAACCTTAGTTTTAAAAAAGGACTGGCCTTTTATAACAAATGAGTGCTTTTTATTTTTCTCAATGAGCAGGATCTGGAACTCCTAAGCCAGCTATTCCTACTCCAACCAACACCCTTTCATCGACCCCACACCCTGCTGATGCTCAGAGCTCAACTCTGATTACCCATTCTGCTACCCTTACTCCCCAAGATTCAGGCTTCACCCCTCAGCCCACTTTACTTACCCCGTTTGCTCAGCAGCAAATGTCTCTGGGCCAGACATTGCCTGTAATGACCATTCCTCTTTCCACCATGGTAACTTCCGTTACTACAGGAACATCTTCCAACCAGGTCATGACAAACACTGCAGGACTTAACTTCATCAATGTAGTGGGCTCTGTGTGGTAAGTTGGTTATTTTATAGTTTAGAGTTACTTTCCACCATGTTCCATGTTGCTGTGAGCCCACTGATGAGTGATGAACTTGAGATGGGTTAACCAATTAATGAAATTTAACATATTTTAGTGCATTTATTTCATTCCATGTTCTTAAACATTAGCTGATGATCATAATTATGTGGACATACAAAAAGTAAAGCTTTAGAGTAAGTTTTAGAAAACTGGTTAAGATTAGTGTTATTTTTATTATTTATTGTATTATTTCTATGTGTGTGTAATCTGTCCTCCCTTCTTACCATCATTGGAGTTAGAATTAAGAATAAGGAGAGCATCTGGCATTCTGTTCATTCCTTGAGCACTGTTCACATGTTATGTTGTTTAGTTGGCTTTGGGATGGAATATGAAGAGATTTATTCAAGTGAAGCAAAATATTTTGTTGTAACTTGATTAGTAAAACTGTATATTATTTCATGACATATTAGTCTAATTCTTGCCTATTCCTTTTGTACAGTGGAACACAAACATTAATGAGTGGTTCAAGTCCCATGTTGGGGGGTAATACTGGTGCAGCCTCCCCTGCAGGTATAAACCTGAGTAATATTTTACCATCAGGAAATCTGGTGCCAAATGCACTCCCTGCTGCAATGCAGCATACCTCTCAGCCAGGTTAGTATGAAAATCAGACATGCTGTAATGGGATGATGATGCCTATTGAAAGTGCAAATTGGGAAAAGAATCTAGAAGGATACTAACTAGTAAATTGCATAGTATATAGTGATGGGCATTAACACCATCTTAATTATTGCCCTAGGTGGCAGTCCCCCAGAGTTTTAAGTTTTGTAAGCATATGCAACTAAATTTTCTAATGTGACACAGACCCAGACAAATTTTAGGATTCATTCTATAGGATAGTGTAGCTTCTGGTAGCTCTACTTTCTTCTCAATCATCTCATAATATTGGAGTAACCATTTTATATAGTGGCACTGATCTTCCAAATAACCTGCTGTTAATCAAGTTTTTGATTTAAAATTAAAATCTTATTTATGTAAGCATTTTAATTTGCTACATTGGTTTCATAATTTTAGCATTTTGTGGTATATTTTATCTGCTATTATGTTTTCAATCTGTGCTCTATTTTTTAATCAATTATTTTGTGTGCATTGTATTTAAGCAATTGTGAGGTATTATAAATATATTAAAGTATTTTTTTTCTATTTCACGTATATGCCTTCCTCTACCCTGATATGGCAGTAGAGAAAAACTACAGTACTCTGAAAGCTTGAATCATTACTAGGATTCAAGAATTAAGGTGTTTTAATTCAGTTTATTGAAACAAGATACATTGTACAGTTTCAGTGCAAATGAATTCTTAAATTTTAAAGCTCATAAATTTCTTTATGAGTTTTAAATACTAAAATATTCCAAATTTTAAAGCTGAGCTTTAAAGTTGGAATATTTTAGCATTTAAAACTCTTTTTTTTCTTTTTCACTAGAAGAGGTATTTTGGGGAAAAATAGTTGCTTCTGTTGAAATGGCCAAAATAGCTTTTGCCAATATTAATGGTTAGCTACACTGTTCGCTTCCACTTTAGATGTAATTAAAGAGAAGAAAAAAACCACAACATTTTCTTACCTAAATTAATCTCAGCAGGTGTTCCTTTTGGTTTAAAAAATGCTCCAGGCCTTCGCCCATTGAATCTTCTACAGGTATGATAATATACTTGGGCCTGTTTTCTGTGTGATTTCGCAAGACATTGAGTGGGAAAATTAGATGCAAATACAAACACCCTTATATCCATTGACTAATTAGTAAAACATATTATCCTGTCAAAAATATAGAAGGATATATGTTTCTCTTGACATGAGATTGGAAAAAAATGTGAAAATAAAAGATTTTCATCGCCAAACATAGAGGCAAGGACATTGTGGATCTGGAAAGCCAATTCTCTATTTCAAATCTGCAAAAATGTGGAGATTTTACAACTGGGGTTAGGGGAAGCTCCCTCTGCTCAACTATCTCACTGCCCATGTTATTATTTTAATTAATCACCGTATTTTTCCGTCTATAAGACGTACCCTTGTATAAGACGCTCTGGCATGCGAGCTTCTCTGTGCTGATCAGCTGTTCGGCAGAGTGCCGAACAGCTGAGCCGGCAAATCCAGAAGTTTGGCTGGCTGATGATCTTGCCCCTTCCCGTTAGTGGCAAGCCCACAGGGGCTTGACACCTGCACCAGGTGGCATGGCAACCCACACAGGCATGCCCTGGGCTGCAGAGGTTACCATTATTTTTCCATGTATAAGACGCACCTGATTTTTGAAGAGGGTGTTTGCAGGAAAAAATAGTGTCTTATACACGGAAAAATATGGTAGTTTAAATTTATTGACTGCCCAACGCCAATGACTCCAATGTTGGGATTCTCATTGAATTATCCAAGCTTTTGTTATATCCTGACTTGGTAATACCTTGCCCTCTATATGGGCTTACCCTTGAAATATCTTCAGAAGCAAGCTTAAATATATAATGTTGATAATGCTTTTAATATTAATAATGACTTTGGAATTTCATTATTAGATAGATTGTCTAATTGATATTATTTTATTTGGACATTGAGGTCATGAGGATTGGGCTCTTAAAATTTCCTTACTTTCTGAGATACAACTTTGGTCACACAGAGAATGCTTTCTCCTGTATTGCTGTCAAGCAATGACATGTACTCCCCTTCAGAACTGCACTCAGACTTAACTCTGCTTTTAGAAAATATTGAAACACATTCCTCTGAGTTAAATAATTGCCTTTAACTGTTTTTATAAAATTGTGTTTGTTACTTTTAGTCTCCTGTAAGGTAAAAGATGGAACATAAATAAAGTACTGCTATTTCACAAAGAGATTATTCTATGGGACATCCAACAAACTAGTTTAAAAGCTCTGCTCAGCACTTGTTCAGTTATATCTCTTACTCCTCCTTCCAGCTGTAACAGATTCCAGGCTTTGGTCTCATTGGAAGTAAACACATATGTTTTACCTAATGGGGAACAGAATTAGTTCATGTAAGTCAGAGATGTCAAACTCGCGACATCACATGACGTCGCGCAACATATCGGGACTGTTTTTCCATTGCCGGCAATGGGGTGGGCGCGGCTTTCGCGTGATGCATCCGGCCCGTGGGCCGGCAGTTTTGACACCCCTGATGTAGGTGATATGAATTCTGTGTGCATGTACATCTATTGTTGCATAAAATGATACTTGCTGTGGAAACAGCAAAACAACAAAAGTGCTGTGGTCACTTTGATTTAGGTTTACTTTTTAGTGTGATTTTACTCTGTGTAAAATCTCTGACCCCCAGTTTTCTTGAAGTGGAAAGGGACTGAGGATATTGGGTGCTCACAAATATAAATTCTAAATTCTGTATATTTGGGTGCATCACAAATAAAATACTCAACCCTGCCAACACCTAATATCTCTTTAAACTTTAACAGCTTGCAGGTGGCTCACTGATATTCAACCCTCTCCAACAGCAGCAACAGCAACAACAACTCTCCCAGTTTTCATCTCAGCTGCCTACAACTTCTAGTCCTCAGCCACAGGGAGATCAGGTAGGCATACCCATTGAGCATAATGATAAAAAATAAGCCATGTTGTCTCATATGTTTGCATGTAGATATCAACATGATTCCTTTATGTTAATGATATCACTGGGGAACTAATCTCCACAACACAATGGAGCTGTCTTCAAAGAAAAGTTATTGTGTATGTGTGAAAGTTTCTGTATGGCCTGGAATCCTGGTGATGTAATTTCAGCTCACAGGGAATGTTGGCTGCCACAGGGAGCCTTCCCATACCTGCAGTTACATTGTACCTTAGACAACCAGCTGGTTTTCTGACATATTGATATCCCATCATTCCATAGAGGGAAGGGCTGCTTAACATTGTTCATATGTTCAGTTGCACATGCAATAGCATTTAGCAATATAAGCTATTTAGCAGTAGCTTATATAAAGCCCCATAGTGCTTTTGTCATGCCCCCGTTGGAGCCTGAATCTGCTAAGGAAGATGAGCTGGAACTGGAGCCGATGGAGAGCATCCTTGGCTTTGGAGGAATATGGGGAGGAGCAGGCCGAGGCAGGCCAGGGCCTTTCAGGGTTGGGACGGCTTGAAGGCAGGGAGGAACAGAGGCAGGATGAACATGAGAGATAGAGCTCAGGCGATGAGCAAGGGCCACCCCCTCCTGATCCTAGAGAGTGGAGAGAAGGAGGGAACAACGCAGGCAGGCCCGACTACTCGGGAGGAGAGCGCCCTGCCCCTCTCCACAAGGCACACCTGGGGACTGAGACTTAAGGAGACACTGTGGGAGGGGCATTTGTCGGGAACAAATGCTGAATTATTGGAGGTTTGTGTACTGTTGCTGACGTTGGAAACAACTCTCTGATCTGATTCTGTGTTGTGATTTATTTATTTATTTATTATTTATTTATTTATTACATTTATACCCCGCCCTTCTCCTGGTGGACTCAGGGCGGCTTACAGCCAGTTTAAAACAAAACAATCAATACAATATACAAAATTTAAAATGTAATTAAAAAGAAATATTAATATGGGCCTTTTCTTCCTTTTTTTAAAAGTTATTTAAAAACCAAATTTAAAATACCCCTTAGGCCAGTCNGAAGGCGGTCTCGGAGGTAACCAGGTCCGATGCCATGGCGCGCTTTAAAGATGATGATCAACACCTTGAAGCGCACCCGGAAGGCCACAGGCAGCCAGTGCAGCTCGCGCAGCAGCGGCGTTACATGGGAGCGACGAGTCACTCCCATCACCGCTCGCGCGGCTGCATTCTGGACTAACTGGAGCCTCCGAGTGCTCCTTTCTACTTGTAAACCCTGAAACTCTGACCATTGGACTGGCTGACAAACTTGATTTGGTGCTCCAAACCTTAGATTGAATTTTGGCTTCTCTTCTGAAACTACTCAGGCAAGCTTGTATTTTCACAGACTCTTAGATTTTGATGTGGATTCCTTTCTTTGTTATCTACTTGGCCTTGAATAAATTGCTGTTCTAAACTAGCCACCGTGTGTGTGAGTCGAAAACCTGAAAAAGGACTGCTTGTTCCATATAGTTTTCCTGCCTGAGAGACTGAAAAACTTTTGAAACTACTTGCAGCCAGAGGCTGCTGAAGGTGTGTGTATGTGTGTATCTTTACTTGTTTTGGGACTTGCCAGAAACATGGGAGCATTTGGGGAACATTTGGAGCAATAAAGGGGTGGTTTGAACTGCCAGCTGACTATGTTGCCTCTGTGTCGTGCCCTGGGTCATCACAGCTTTACAGCACTATCTGCGTGGTTTACAATATAGAAGCATTATTTGCATATTGCCCCCACAATCTTGGTCCTCATTTTACTGACCTCAGAAGGATGGAAGGCTGAGTCAACTCTGAGCCCCATCAGGATTGAAATGGTGGGGGCAGGACAGAGGTAGTACATCCATCCTGGTTGTTGATTTCTCAACAGCCTTTTAATACTATTAAGAGAACCTTGCAAGTTTGATAATACAAATCTCCCACTGTCACTTTTACAGTCTGAGGTTCCTTTCTGTGTTTTTTTCTCTGCCCATTATGCAGTTGTGGGCTATGCCTTCTCTTATCTGATCTAGGCAGCATCTCTCTCTTCCATCTCCCAAGATCAGTCCTACATACCATTACAGGTTGGCTTTGAAGAGCATTCAGAAACTGCAGCTGGTGTAGAATACAGTGGCATGGATAGTTAATGGTACTGGTTTGTTTCTTGCATGTAACACCATTACTTCATGAGCTATGTTAGTTGTCAGTGTGCTTCCAAGTGCAATTCAAGTTGCTGGTTGTCATCTTTAAAGCTCTTCATGGCTTGGAGCTGAATTAATTAAGAGTTTACCTCTTCTAGTTATTTTTACCTGTCCCATCAGTCCTACAAGATAGTCATTCTTCCGGATCCTGTTGGCTAAGGAATACAGGCTTATGGGGCTCAGAAGATAAGTTTTTTCTGCATAGTGCACTCTGGAACATTCTCCCTCCAAGATTATGTTGGTCTTAACTTGCTTGCATTTTGTAAAGCTCTAAAGATATGGCTGCATGCTTGGGCTTGGGACCTTAAGCATGTGAAGAGGCCTGTCTTTTGGCCATGTGGATGATAACTTTTTTTTTTACTTCTGTGTATTATATTTTTTTTATATGTATTTGTTTTATTTTTATTATTATTTACTTCCCAGAGATGTTGAGATGGGTAGCAATGTAAATTAATAAATAAATAAAAAAAATTCACTAATCATCATGGCTTTGTTCAGTTGAGACTTTCATTAAGTTGCCAGCCTAACTCATACCCTTGCCTCAGGAAGTATTCCCATTACTGGAAGAGCAAAATACTCGCCAGTTTTGCCACACATTGGAATTTAATTATATATTAAATATCTGAATTTGTTTATTTTTCAGGAATTATGATTGTATTGAGCTTGGGGGAGGGGGGAAGCAAAAAGAATCGTATTAAGAAATTGGAATATGTTGTTTTTCTCTCAGGATAGTTGTGATGTGATTGGGTTTTGGAGAACATTGTCATTAGTCTGTGGCCATAGTTGGAACATCTGATTGCATTTCGGTGTGCTGAAGTTACCCCAGGTCAAAGGGGAATAGAGCTTGTTAGGACAGTTCACCCTAAGCACCTGATAGACCCAGCTGGTTTCCAGAAATAGCTTGAGGTATTCCATGAGTCCAGCTAATGGGCAGCCCAGCTGAGAGCTTGGCCACAGCCTGGAATGGGTGAGTGTCAGAGGTTTAGATTGCCCCTAAGTGGCCTCTTCCTGTGCATTGATATAAGGACGTTAGGAAGAAATCCAGGAGATGAAGCACCAGAAGAATCATCTAGTGTCCTTGGAGGAAGATGAAGAGTGAAATTGACCAAACATGAATAAGAACCTACATTAGGAATTATATTGTGGTGATAAGGATGGTGAAATGACATGATTTCTTTATCCTTACTGCATCTGCTGAGAGCTCCTTACCGGCTCTATTTAACCCTGTCCCCATTTGGGAGGAATGAATCACTAGGATCATGTGCAGGCCCACTGTGAGAAATATTTCTGCTACGTGGCAGATAAAGTTGCTCCAGAACAACGACTCAACAGATGCCAAGGCAGGGGCTTGCAAGGTTAACTAGAGTTAACCTTTAGAGTCTGTGACTTCTAAAGAAGTGGACAGGGGTTCTCTAGTGTGGGAGCTCATCCACCTGTTTGTTTGATCCAGGTCTGCCATGGTTGGCTCAAGGCCATCCAGGAGATGATTTGTGATTGTAAGTGGTATCCACCTCTCTGAGAGAAGGGGTAGCCACCTTAGTCTTGAAGGAGGCTGTCTTCTTAAGAGTCCATTACTCTACCCAATGATCGTGGATATTTCCATTCAATCTTCACCCTCCATTTTCTGGGGAAGTTGGTGCAACCAATGGTCTGGCTCCAGCTCTAGATTATCCTGGATGAAATAAATTATCTGGATCTGTTTCAGTTCAGCTTTAGACATATATTAGAGGGGAGTTATTTCTGACTAAGGGTTAGCTTTGGTACCTTCTAGAACTATGTTGTGCATTGCTATAGCCTCATTAGTATGAATACACAGATGACAAACTGAACTACAGTTAAAAGTAAAGAACTTCTGTTTGAGGTATGTTTATAAAATAACTATAAGAATTCATGGTGTATGACATCCATCAGTTAATAAAATAAAGTTTGTGCAGTAAAGTGGCAAAATCACTAAGAAGTATTACTGAAGCTGTTTCCTCATTTACAGAATCTTGTTTTCAGATGAAACTCACTATTTATGTATCAAACTAAGAAAAGCTTTGAAATGTATTTCTTCCTAAAGGAAAATAACTATACAGATCATGAATATTTTTTGATATATCAAATTTTTTTGCTAGGGTTCTGAAGAAGTTCCCCTAAACCAAGATCAATCCTTATCTGCTCAGCAAACTGCTGTTGTTAACTTGACTGGAGTAGGGAACTTTATGCAACCTCAGGCAGCAGGTACGTGTATTCAAGAATGAGCTTTATGGAATGTTCCTGTGCAAATTCATTTTTTAAATCATGTTTCCTATTATAGGAGAATTCTAGCAGTAAATATACAACTCCAAACACATCTGCCCTTATATGAGTTTTTTTTACGGTGTTCAATATATACACTTTATTAAAACACTTAAGAAATGAATAAATGAGTACCTTTGTTTTATCATTGAACAAACAAAAGCCAGACTTCCAGGTTTAATGTTTTCACTGGTTCCTTATAGAACCAATAATAACCAAACAAGGACTGGAAGGGATCTTAGAAGTATTTTAGTCCAGCCACCTGCCCATGGCAGGAGACCTTATATCATCCTGGACAAATGGTTGTCCAGTCCTTTCCTAAAATCTTCCAATGATGACGTACCCACAAGTCTAGGATGCAAGCTATTCCATTGGCTAATTATTCCATCAGGAAGTTAATCCTTAGTTCCAGGTTGGATTTCTCTATAACTAACTTCCACTCATTGCTTCTTGTCTTGCCCTCAGGTGCTTTGGAAAATAAGTTGATTGTCTTCTCTGTAACAACCCCTCAAGTACTGGAAGACAGCTGTCACGCCACACCTAATTCTTGTCTTTATTAGGCTAGCCTAGGGGTAGGCAACCTTGGTTCTTTTATAACTCATGGACTTCAACTCCCAAAATTCGTGAGCCAGCATAGCTGGCTCAGGAATTCTGGGTGTTGAAGTCCACAAGTCATAAAGAGCCAGGGTTGCCCACAAGTCATAAAGAGCCAGGGTTGCCTGGGCTAGCCATACCTAGTTCCCTTAACCGTTCCTCATACAATTTATCCTGCAAACCCCTTATCATCTTAGTTGCTCTTCTTTGTACTCTTACTCGGGTCTCAGCATCTCTTTTTATATTGAGATGACCAAAACTGTATGCAGTATTCCAAGCGTGGCCCCACTAGTGCAGTAAAAAGCGGCATCATTTCATGTGATTTATTTTAATAAATGTTTTATTGGTTTTCTGTTTTCACAATCAAGTGCCCAATAGACAACGTGATGAGAGTCCATTAGTGATTCCATGGTACATGTAAGCTTCTTCAAACTAAGTCAGATATTACACCCTCCAGTACATCCACTCTTCTTCTGGTAATAACCATTTTTCCACACTAAGCAAATACAATTGTTATTGTTGTTAGTATATATACAATTGCATATCAACATCTGTTACATTTTTCTAATAGTGTCAATAATATCAGTTTAGAATATTTTTTCTAACCAAAGCATATCTTAATTGCATTTGCACTCAGTTTCCATTTATTTAGTCCATATCCTATTTTCGCTTTTTTCAATTTTAATTTCCCATCCATGTTCAAAGTATCCCAATCATTTATAATTTCAGAACAAGTTATATTTTGGGTAACCAAAAGCTTCCCTTATTCAAAGTTCTTAACATATTCTTATTTCCCTTTTCATACCAAGATTTGATATTCTGATTACAAATCCTATCTATCTAGTTATAATAATATTTCTATTTCTAACAATCTATTCTTAACCATATTCAAATATCTAATTAGTAATCTAGCATCCCCTCTAATAGGTCAAAGCTTCTGTTTCCTTCAATCTTACTCTACCTTTCTTCCTTTGCCAACTAATTTTCCAAGTCAATGCATTTGGATCATCAAATAATTCTTCCTCTATTTTTGTATATATTATTTGAAACAAGAGAAACAATTTAATTAAAGTATTTTTGGAAGAACTAGCCCAGGGGTAGGCAACCTTGGCTCTTTTATGACTTGTGGACTTCAACTCCCAGAATTCCTGAGTCAGCATGGCTCAGCATGGAAACCTCTCCCTTTCCCCTCAGCACAGCTGGCTCAGGAATTCTGGGAGTTGAAGTCCACGAGTCATAAAAGGGCCAAGGTTGCCTACCCCTGAACTAGCCCATTGATATTCATTAAACAGCCTCCCCCCTTCTTCAGTTCCCCACAATTCTGTTAACGGCTTTATCTTCCATTCCATCAACTCTCCTTCCCTATCCTCCAGTATGTTTTGAAACCTTGACTTGTAAAATGTCTTTTCCATTTCCAATATTATCGTTGTGTCTCCTAAGTTTTCATTTATTTGAATCTGGTCGTTAGTTTCTTCCTTTGGATCCTCAGTGTGTGTCAGCATTCCCTAGTTTTCCTTCTATTTTTTGGGCTGCTAGTTCCTTCTCTGTAGTTGTTTTCTGAGTTTGTAGATTTAAATTAGAAAATTGTTCTTTTGTCTCCTTTGTGTTATTTTTAACCTGATCACAAGCTAAAGTGATTGCTTTTTGTATTAATTTCAACATGGAGAGAATTTCTTTCTGTGGTTCATCAGTATTTTCTTGGTGATATGGCAAACTGAGGCTACTGGGGACAGATGTTAAGGATAGTTTTTTACTATTTAGAGCTAAGTATGGAACATCCATTTTATTCCTTTTTGTCAGTAGCTTTTATAAATTTATCCAACCAACTAGCCGTTCCTAAATCTCCCCTAAGCAGATATAAGTAAAATTCAATTTTTTCTGTCCAATGAGAAATATATCCTTTCTGTCCAGGGAGAAAAAAGAACCATCAGCATTTTTCCAGTCCTCTGGCAGTTCCTGCATGCTCCAGGAGCTATGAAAGATTTTGCTCAGTGTTTCTGAGATCACATTTGCCGGCAACTTCAGGACCTTGAGTTGTAAACCCTCTGGCCCTGTGTCTGAAGTGGATAGGTGTTTGCTTACCAATTGCTTGCCTATTTTGACCTGCATTCCTGTTCCCATTGTGCTGCTTTTGGAAGTTTGGATTATTTTTTTTCCTTTTGTGTAAAGATAGAGGTATGAAAGTATTAAGCAGTTTTGCTTTCTTTCTGCTGCTCATCACAGTCTTGCCATCTTCTCACATTAATGGACTGATCATTTCCTTGACTTTCTTCTTGTCTTTTACATATTGAAAGAAATATTTTTGTTATTTTTGGCATTTGTTGCAAGCCTTAGTTCATTCTGAGCCTTAACTTTCCTAACTCTGTCCTTGCAGATTTGGAATATTTGCTCCTGTTCTGTTTTGGTTATGTGTCTCTCTTTCCATTTTTTATACTTGTCCTTTTTTTCAATTAATTTGTCAGAGAGGCCTTTATGCAGCCATGCTGGTTTTGTCTGGAGTCTCTTGTTTTTGTTTTTCTGTGGTTTTGCATTGATTAGACTTTTATGATCTCATTTTTCAGAGTTTCTCTCATCTTGAATTGTTTTTCCCTTTAGGATTTCCATCTATAGAATCTTTTTCTTAGTTTATTGAAATCAGGTCTCTTAAAGACTAAAATACTAGTTTGTCTTGGTTCAATTACTTGTGCCTGCATTATATTGAATTCTAGTATGATATGGTCACTCTCCCCCAAGGTTCCTATAACTTCTATCCCTTCTAAAATTTCATCCCTATGGGTAAGAATTAAGTCCAGCATAGTGGAGCCTCTAGTTCCCTCCTCTAGCTTTTGGGTGACAAAGTTGTAGGCATGTCAGGAACCTGTTTTGATCTCCCATTTGCTGCAGAGTTTGTCTCCCAGTTGATATCAGGATAGTGAAAGTCCCCCATTACTAAACTGGCATGTTTCCTGCATACCATAGCCAACTATTTAGTAAAAAGTTGGCTCATTATTCCTTATAGTTGTTTTTCTTTCTGTATTCAGTTTGGATACAAACTTTCACTTTTACTAGTAGTCTTCATCTTCTTGGTTGAATCATTTTCTTGGTTGAGACGCAGGGTGGTTAGTCTATCTCTAGGCGCTTTTCTTTTTCTTCTAGTAATCCAATTAATTTATATTTGGTGTAGGTATAGTTTGGGTCCTCTATGGGCATAAATACATTATGTGGCCCATAGTTTGCAAATCACTATGGTGCTAGTCTCTGTTTCCATGACTATGTCATTCTAGGGAAAAAAATATCAAACACAGATGAGTTTTGTGCTAAAACAATAGAATGACAAGGACAAAATAATCTGGTTTAATTCCATTATGGGTAGTGCAATCTAGATAGGGCATTTCAAAACCTACTACTCGATAAGAGGGAAGTGTGTAGTGGGGTGCCCCAGGGCTCTGTTCTAGGCCGTGTTCTTCAACATCTTCATCAACGATTTGGACGAGGGGATAGATGGGGAACTCATCAAATTTGCGGATGACACCAAGCTGGCAGGAATAGCCAACACTCCAGAAGACAGGCTTAAGATACAGGAGGACCTGGACAGACTTGAACACTGGGCGCTATCTAACAAAATGAAATTCAGTGGTGAAAAAAGTAAGGTTCTACATTTAGGCAAGAAAAACCAAATGTACAGGTATAGTATAGGGGGTACCTTGCTCAATAATAGTAACTGTGAGAGGGATCTCGGAGTCCTAGTGGACAATCACTTAAATATGAGCCAGCAGTGTGCTGCAGCTGCCAAAAAGGCCAACACAGTGCTGGGCTGCATTAACAGAGGGATAGAATCAAGATCATGCGAAATATTAATACCACTTTACAATGCCTTGGTAAGGCCATACTTGGAATACTGCATCCAGTTTTGGTCACCACGATGTAAAAAAGATGCTGAGACTCTAGAAAGAGTACAGAGAAGAGCAACAAAGATGATTAGGGGACTGGAGGCTAAAACATATAAGGAACGGTTGCTGGAATTGGGTATGTCTAGTTTAATGAAGAGAAGGACGAGGGGGGACATGATAGCAGTGTTCCGATATCTCGGGCTGCCACAAAGAAGAGGGAGTCAAGCTATTCTCCAAGGCGCCTGAAGGCAGGACAAGAAACAACAGATGGAAACTGATCAAGGAGAGAAGCAACCTAGAACTAAGGAGAAACTTCTTGACAGTTAGAACAATTAACCAATGGAACAACCTGCCTCCAGAAGCGGTGAATGCTCCAACACTGGAAGTTTTTAAGAAGAGACTGGACAGCCATTTGTCCGAAATGGTATAGGGCAGTGATGGCGAACCTTTTAGAGACCGAGTGCCCAAACTGCAACCCAAAACCCACTTATGCATCGTCGGGTGCCAGGTGGGTGTGGCCCATTGGGTGGGCGTGGCCAATTGGGTGGGCGTGGCTGCAGTGGTAACAGCAGAGTGGTTGGGACTAAAAAGTTCAATCAATCAATTCCAACTTTGCAAGATCTTTTTTTTCCCCACAAGAAGTTGAAATTGACTGATTGATTGAACCTTTTTTTTTGTACAAGGCGGTGGAGGCCTAAAGCGAAAAGGTTTTATAAAACCCAGCTGAAGGCGTAGGATTGGGGCGACGGTGTGCGTGCCCATAGAGAGGGCTTTGAGTGCCGCCTCTGGCACCCGTGCCATAGGTTCGCCACCACTGGTATAGGGCTTCCTGCCTGAGCAGTGGGTTGGACTCGATGACTTCCAAGGTCCCTTCCAACTTTATTATTATTATTATTATTTAGAATGTTTTAATATACCTTGATATCCATACATTTAATAACTAAGTAAACTATTTCTGTGAATTATTACACAGAGAAGGCATTCTCTAAATTGTAGTTTTTAATATTGCATTATTTATTTTATTCTTTTGGAGATAAAAATGAAAGTTAAAAAAATTAAAAAAAATTCTTTTTTTCTTGGCAACCATTACAGTTCTTTCCCCATCAAATGGTTATGGCACTAGCAGCATAAGCAGCTCTACTACATCATCATCTAGGCACGCAGTCAAAAAGTAAAAAGAAAAAAAAAGCTTCACTGATATCAGACTCCTGAAACTTGCATTTGAGAGAGATGTATGTATACAATAACCATCTTTTTAAAAAAAAAAAAATTTTTTCATGAAACTGAATTTGTAGCTACACTGAGGCATAGCAATCAACTGAAATTTGTAAGAAAACCCGAGACTGGTATTTGTAAGAAAACTGTTTTAAAATGAAATTATTCATCTGGAAATGTTACACAAATTTCAAGCTGAAATGGTATTATGAAATAATGGAACTTCATAAATGTAGCATGTTTATTGAGGTAATGGTTTTGTGAGCAAATAGTAAATACACCTTTTACTAATTATACATTTTTGATTATTTTATCCATTAGTTTTTGTACTTCTTTATGTCGTGTTTTTGCCCGACTGATACAGTCTTGAAGCTTTGCTTCTGTTATTGTACTTCCACCTTAAAAAGAAACAGAAAACAAGGAAACAATGCATTTAATACTATCCAAGCTTTTGAATTGCCCATTAAATTACATTGATATATTTGTGATTAACCAAATGTTTTATTAGAATTAATTTCAACAAGACATTCTCATGAAAAAATCCCTTTTAATGACCCTGTAATCCCTTAATCTGGGGTAGAATCAGGGCGACTGGATGGAGCTAAGTGTTTACTGGCCAAATGCCTTTCCTGATGCCACACACAGTTCGAGGGGTTTTTCTGCGCCCTAGGAGAGAAACATCTGCTGCTACCTAGGAATGAACTCTCAACCTTCCAAGTAGGAGGCAAGCATCTTCACCACTAGGCCATCACGCCACTCAATTTTCATGACTGAAACACATCTCATAATTTCTGTAGTGTAGAGATGGAAAATGAAGTATCACTGATACTCCTGAATGGCATCTACAAAATTAAAACTAAATTAGAGAATTTGGGAAATATTAATCCTTAATAATTTAGTATTAGTACCTGGTTTATGAACAGAACACAGTTTGTCATTTTCAATAATCACAATAGTTAAAGTCCCAGATGCCAAGTCTTCTTCTTCTGCAGTTGGGTCAACTACCACTAATGTGCTGTTGAAGATATATACACATAAGTGCCAAAATTAAACTTCTGAGATTTTTTTAATCCAAAACAATTACATATATTTACTGTTCAATTAGACCAGGGGTCCCCAACCTCCAAGCCATAGCCTACTACTGGGCCGTGGCCTATTCAGAACCAGGCCACACAAGCAGTGGGTCAGCGTGCATAGGCATGCATGCAGCTCAACTTGTACAAGCAGCAGATTGGTGTGTATGCACACACATGCAGCTCGACTTACGCGAGTCGAGCTGCATGCGCATACACATGCATGCTGGCCTGCTGCTTGCATAAGTTGAACTCTGTGCCCGCATGTGTGTGCCAGCCTGCCGCTCATACGGCCTAGTTCCCCTCTACCCTCCCCCAGCCAAGCCGCAAACCACAAAGGTTGGGGACCAGTGAATTAGACAATACAAAGAGCAACATTAAAAAAGCACCATCAGATTCTTTTGCTCATTTCCAGACCACTTGGATTGTTATTGTTAGCATAAGCATCAATGCTGAAGCCATTTTCAATTTAATTCAAAAACTTACAAAGAAATTAATTTAAAAGACATATTGTTAACTTTAGGCAATAAGGATTTCTTTAGTCTGCCTGACTGAGTGAAAAATAACTAAACCGATTCTCTCAGAAAAATAGCTGGAAATTTATCAGAGCAACTATCTTATCCATATTCACAATTCTGCATGGACCCATTTTCATGTATATACATTTCTTCTGACCATTAGTGAGAAAGATTTCATTTAAATGCAGGCATATAATATTTTCCAATTCATCCTCTCCATGACATTCAGACAACCTTCCTGAATTGAATACAAGACAAGACCAGAAGACAAGCTCAGGATCCAAAAAGATCTTGACAGACTTGAACAATGGGCTCTATTCAACAAAATAAAATTTAGTGTGGCGAAAAACAAGATTTTACACTTAGGCTAGAAAAACCAAAGGTACAAGTACAGAGTAGACGAAAACTGGCTCAAAAAACAGTAACTGTGAGAGGGCCTTGGAGTCCTAGTGGACAATCATTTAAATATGAGCTAGCAGTGGCAGCCAAAAAAGCTAATACAATCCTTGATTGCATAAACAGAGGCATAGAATCAAAATTACATGGAAATATTATACCATTTTATAAAACCTTAGTAAGGCTACACCTGGAATACTGCATCTAGTTTTGGTCACCACATTACAAAAAAGATGTTGAGACTGTGGAAAAAGTGCAGAGAGGAGCAACTAAGATGATTAAGCAACTAAGATGCCTGGAGACAACAATATATGAAGAGTGGTTGCAGGAATTCGTTATGGCTAGTCTAGAGAAAAGGACTAGGGATGACATGATAGCAGTATTCCAGTATTTGGGGGGCTGTCACAAAGATGAGTGGCTCAACAGCTTGCCTTCAAAAGTTGTGGGTGCTTCATCATTGGAGGTCTATAAGAAGAGACTGGGCAGCCATTTGTCTGAAATGGTATAATCTCCTGTTTGAGCAGGGGGTTGGACTAGATAACTTCTAAGGTCCCTTTCAGCTCTATTCTGATTGATTGATTGATTGATTGAATAGGCTCTATAGGATGTGTGCTTTATTTGATGAATTTCCAGATCACAGACCTTGCTTTGTAACTACCTTGAGCAGAGACTGTTTAAAGTTATGACACTGATGAAAAAATAACTTGGCAACAAATGCCCGTATTTAATTCCTTTCCAGCATCTATCTCTGTCATGTGTTCACTATTACAGTGAATCAGTATGCGTTGTCCTTTGCCTGACTCATTTTCATTTTTTTCTCCCCCACAGATTGCTTAAACAAATAATATTTTCCTGAACTGAGCTGCTTTTTTATTGCAGTGCCGCACTATCCCTGAAAAATGCTAACCAAAGCTAAGGTCAGCTCTGTGACTTTAGTTGCTGCCTATAAATGAAAAGACTTTAATTACTTTCACATCTTCAGCTTTTCTTTGCCTCCTAAGCAGCCTCAGTGGACTAGGCATACAGCTGGTGCTAGGGCATTCTTTTTGATGTGTATTCCCTGTTTAGTCTCTTGTAATCCCTTCCTTTCCAAAGAATGTAAATACAAAGATTAATCCCCTTCTTGCTAATTATCCTAGCACCAGGGTGCATGCTTCAAAGGGGGAGGGGGGATGCTAAGGTAACATTGTAAACATGATTTTTCACTTGGTGACCTCATCACTTGATGACTGAATTGCTGGCCCCAATTGTAGTTGCTAAATGAGGAACATCTGGACAGCAAAAACAATTTTTATGGATGTTTAAATAAATCTCCCTCCCTCTGCTCACATCATGTTTTTTGGAAGTACTTGAAGGCTCCAAAAGGAAGAGGCAGCCAAGTATTCTTTGCTAGTATAGCTGCTCATAAATCTGGGATTATCTAATAAAATGGTATTGTCTATCGTAATCTACACATACACTTTTTGATCTCTACTTACTCAAACAACACAAATGACGTTGCCACCGGTTGCTTTTTAATAGTCAAAGGATTCTTCTCTTTCAAATTAACTTCCACCAAACCAGTTTCTGCATTTATTGCAACAACAGGCAAAAGCACTGAAATAACAAAGGATAAATATGGAAAAAGCAAGACTGGAAAATTGTTTCATACAGCACATTTTTATAAAGAAAAATAGAGGCATCCTCAAATAAACACAAGAAAGTGATGGGAATGTAATAAATAGCTTTTGATTTTAAAACGTTCAGAACAAGGAAATCCTTCTGTGAATTGAGTCCTTTCTAACAACAAAATTTAGAAAGTATTTGGCCATTTGGGCAAATTGTTCAAAAAATTGATAAGGGAAAAACAGCACTGACTGTAGCAGTGGTGGGCCCTTAGTAGCTGTCAGTGAGGCTTTTTATCCCAGACCTGATTCATACCTCATCTAACTTCTGTGGATAAGCCTTTACAGGTAGTCCATTCCATTCGTAACTCGAAAATTTGTAGGAGTGAATCTCGTGCCTCGAACGAGATCACTCCCTGCTTTCGCCCACGCATTTGCTAATTGAATGTATGGGCGAATGTGCAGTTTGCTAAGTGCACATGAGGTATTTCAGGGTGGGAAGGCCATGGTGGGTTTAGTGATGCAAAAGGCCCCCAAAGGCCTCCCCAACCTACTAAGGTACCTCATGTTTTCCCCTCCCTGCCATGCCAGACTCACTCACGTTGCAAAATCTCCTCTGCCGCAGTTTCTTTCCCTTTGAGGAAGAGGAGAGTCAGCTTGGAAATGTTTTTCATGCTGATAATGGAAGCTCCTGGGTGCCGTAATATCACGCGAGTTCAAACACCCATTCTGTGAAAAAGAGATCATGGCCCCCAGAAGCTTCCATTCTGGGGGTGGGGGAAGTGTTTGCTTCATTTGCATGCCTATGGGGCAAAGCGTGCAATTGGAGTTGGCTGCGTGCAGGAACTAATGCCGTCCATGGCCCAGATGCACTGCTTGCTGGTGTGTGTGGGCCTTAGTTTGAGGGCAGGAACAAAGTGTTCAATTTAGCAGGGAGGCATCATGGGACAGGCCCCTTGCACCCGCGTCCAAGGTGCTGGCAGCAGCGGTAGCCACTTGAGTGGCCATGATCAGCTGGCACAAATCCTCACCACTCTTCTCATCCTCATCCTACCCACTCAAGGGCTCCACTCAAGTGGAGGCACAGCAGCAGGATTGCTCTCAAACAAGGCCCGTGTGCGCTGCTTGCTTGCGTGCACCGGCCTTATTAAGAACAATCCCGCTGCTGCGACTCTGCTTTCTTCCACTTGGACGAAGCTGAGAAACCCAAGCCGCTGCCGCTCAAACACTTTTTATCCGGAGACCTTGGAGAAACTGGAAGGTCCGTCTGCCTGCCTATGCACGCTTAGAAACAGAATGGAACACTGTGTTTTCAACTGCCCCATTTGTTCAGACCTTCCAGTTTCCCCAAGGTCTCCGTTCAGATAAAAACTGCTTGAGTGGCAGCAGCTTGAGTTTCTCCACTCTGAGGGTAAAGGAGCGGATGCACAGAGCAGGACTGCTCTCAATAAAGCCAGTGCACACGAGCAAGCAGCACACCCGCAACTTCAGAGCAATCCTGCTCTGTGCCTCCACTTCTTTGCACTCAGACGGAGCCCTTGAGTGGAGAGGACGAGGAGGAGAAGAGCGGTGAGGATTTGTGTCAGCTGGCTAGGCAGGTGAGGAGTAGGTCGGGCAGCTGGGGTGGCTGGTTGGGGACGGGGGGGATCATGGCCACTCAGGTGGCTGCTGCTGCTGCTGGCACCTTGGATGCGGGTATAAGGGGCCTGGCCCAGCGATGCCTCCCCACTCAATGGAAGGCTTCGTTCCTGCCCTTAAATTAAGGCTGGCGCATGCCAGTGAGCAACAGACCTGGGCCATGGACAGCATTGGTTCCTGTGCACGGCCGACACCATTTGCACGCTTTGCCCCATAGGCATGCAAATGAAGCAAACACTTCTCTCCCCCCCCCCCAGAATAGAAGCTTCCGGGGGCCATGATCTCTTTTGCAGATAATGGGTGTTTGACCTTGTGCAATATTACGGCACCCAGGAGCTTCCATTGGCGCGAAAAGCATTTCCAAGCCAACTCTCCTCTCCCTCAAAGGGAAAGATACCACGGCAGAGGAGACAGATTTTGCAAGGTGAGTCCAGCAAGGCAGGAAGGGAGGGGGAAGCAGTTGGGAAGGAATAGGGTGAATGTTGAAGAGCCTCTGTGGTTGTTCGTAAGGGGAAACAATTGCCATGGTGCTGCAATATTTGTAATTTTGGGACTTGCTCATAAACACAAGGGGGCACTTATTGTGTAACTTCAAACAAGTGTTAAGTGAACACTCGTAACTCGGGGATTACCTGTACTTTTGTCAAACCCTGTTTGCCATTACATTGCTGTTTTCTTTCAATCCAATTTAGAGCTAAATCTGCATTGCATTTAAATTTTAAAGTAAATCTCAAAGTACATCAACACAACTTACCATTTTTCAGAGCTGCTAAGAAAGCACACATGCAGGCATCAAGAAGGTTTCCATCATAGTCTAAGCATATAATGTCACAATATAGAACCCATACAATCTAAAGAAATAAGACCTGCTGATGTAAATACTGGAAAAGCTTTCACACACATAAAAAATAACTTTGAAATATTTGTCTTACGTCAGCATGTTATTTCACATCACGTTTGAAATCTGTTATCAATAAGATAGAAATGATTGATCATTCTAGCTAAATAACAGAAAGAGAAAATGGGGTGAAATAAATAATGGCCAATTTATACATGTACATACTGGATCACAACTACACTAGAACAGCTTAATATTACCAAATCATACATAAACCAATAATAATTTTTAAAAATATTGTTGTTCATTAAGACCTCAACAATTATAATCTTGTTAAAACTAAATAAAGTGTGCCCAAAAATGACTGTTCAGGCCAATTTGGGCACAGAATATCCTGGCACATATTGAGCAAACATGTAGTTTGCAGTTGTTGCATTGATAGCTCTAGACTTGTGCATTTCATACTTAGGTTGTGCTTGCACTTACTTTACATTCTGGATAACCCCCTATGAATGAGGCCATGCCAGGTACAGCAATTTTGTTTTTGTATTATTTTTTCTGCCCTCCATGTGTTTTCCAGCATAGAGTTTTCCAAAAATTGCTTGGATATGCACTTGTCTAGCTTAAGGATGACATAACCTATCATCAGGTCTGTGCTCAGTTTGAACTCACAATCTAGCAGTACATCGATTAATGGTAGACTTGCTCTAGAGAGAACTCAGTATCTGGTATTTCATCTAGCCATCTGATGCCTAATATTCTGCAAAGACTAGTCATGTAGAAATGGTTAAGCTATTTTGCTTGCTTTTAATACATAGTCCACAGTTTACAGGCATATCAAAGGGCAGTGAACACCACAGCTCTGTACACCTTCAATATTAATGTTGCACTAATTCCTTGATGTTCCCATACAATGGAACACAATCTACCGACAGCAGAACTTGCCTTTGTTATTCTGTAGTTGATTTCTGTATCAAGGGTCACTATGTGGGAGAGGGTATTGTCAAGGTAATTGAAATGAAGTAGTCCCTTTCTTTGTGATTGGGTTCAATGCATGGTGCATGACAGGGTCTTTTGAATATTTTTTATTTAATTACTTATTTATTTTCAGGTAATCCTCGACTTACAACCACAATTGAACCGAACATTTATGTTGCTAAGTGAGACATATACATGTATTCTGTTCTATTTTACAACCTTTCTTGCCACAGTTGTTAAGTGAATCGTTGCAATTGTCTTTGCTTGTCAGAGGGTCGCAAAAAGTGTTTGCATGTCATAAATATGAACCAGTTGCCATACATCTGAATTTTGATCAGGTAACCATGGGGATGCTGCACAGGTTGTAAGTGTGAACAACTGTCATAAGTCACTTTTTTCAGTGCCATTGTAATTTTGAATGGACACTAAATGAATGTCAGATGCCGGGGAAATCAGGCAGTTCAAATGAGTATAAAAATTTATTGCAAGCTTAAGCTCTCTACAAGAATCTGATCAACTAGCAGTCAAGGGAAATGAGTAGGAGATAAGAGAGGCATTCAAGGTGGGCTTTGTGACTTATGATGCATTTGACCCCTCCCTTGGGCTCAGCCTGTATCTCCTACAATGAATGGCTCTAAGTCCAAGACTATCTGTATTAGATTTGTGTGCTACCTATCTTGTCTAGAGACAACTCTGGGCAGCTTACAAGCAAAAAACAGATAAGCATTTAAATGATAAAACAATTTCAATAATAGCTTGAAGTCACCTCAGGTTGAGTGTTTTCCCATCCATTTCAGCATCATTCAGCATGACAATAAACATCATGCTGAATAGCGTGGGTGCAAGAAAACAGCCCTCTTTAAAACGACTGGTGACTGGGAATGTCTTAGAGGATTCTACACCTCTGCCCATGATGGAACTGGCCTATCATCTGAATGAATTTGGCAGGGCAGCTAAGCTTTGACATTATTCTCCACAGGCCCTGATGGTTGACAGTATCGAAGGCTTATGTGAGGTCAACAAAGGGTTGTATAGAATTCACAATTCTGCTCCTGACATTTGTCCTGAAGTTAGTGCATGGCAAAAATGTTAATAGAGTCATGACCTATGGAAGCCACACTGCGACTCTTGCAGCAAGCCCAATGCCAGATGAGTAACCAGATAATTTAGCAGAATTCTTGCAAGGACTTTTCCTGCAATACAGAGCAGCAAAATTCTTCAGTAGTTGTTGCATAGATGCTGGTTGCCCTTCTTGTAGATGTATATAATGGATGCATCATTCCTGAGAAATGGATTCTTGCTTCCATAAAGACTGGAACAACTCAGTGATTTTTCTAAAAGTAGAGGACTTTGTACATCACTGCAGGTATGGTGTCTGCCCCTGGGTCTTTGTCATGCTGCTTGCTGAAT